ATATTTAAAGTGGAAAAAATAGGGTGCATGGGACTAGATTTTATACATCACAGCTTGACTGGAGGGTGAAAATATTTTGAAAAAATAAATAAAAATTGAGCCAGACCTAATGCAAGTTAACTCATATTTTAGCTACTTAAATATCTACTTGGTTATCGAATTAGCATTTCTAAAGAAAATTTGGTGACACTTTACTTGGTGCATAAGACTAACATGACTCCTTCATAATCATGACATGACATACAGTATGTTATGAAAATTAAGGAAGTTTTATGCAAGTGTAATTTGCTCAGTTATGACATTTTTAACGCAAATATGACATAGTTTGAGATGTCTTTGTTATGACATCTTGACATAAACCAATACATCATACAGTAACCTGTCAGTGTCTTTGTCATGACAACTTATTGAGTAAAAGTCACTTAATGACAGTTGTCATAAACATGCATAAACCCTACTTCATATTCAAGACATATGTCATGTCATGGTTATGAAGGTGTCATGTCAGTCTTATGCACACCCCTTCAAGTAAAGTGTTACCGAACACTTAAAAAGCTATTTAAATTCATCCGGCATATGTCGCTAAAGAGAAGTTTGTCATTTCCGCAGAATATCGAGTTCCAACATTTTGATTAAGAATTATGAACTGAATTAAAGCTGAAACATGCACTGATGAATTGTTTCCAATAGGATCTATAACATGCTTTTATAAAGCAGATTTTAATTCACGTTGACTTTAGGGATTGATAAGTTTGCTTCTACAATCAAGTTGAGTGGGACAGTTTCCAGAAGCTGTTTTTCATCAAAGCTTTCCAAACACCCAGTATCCATTCACTCCTTGTCTTTCCCTCTCCTTGCTCTGCCTCTCTCTAGCATTTGATTGTCCTGTGGGATATCAGCAACTTTTGAATACTGCACAGCTCCAAAACAGACGTGAGCGTCTTAATAATAGTTGCAGCCTAGAAAGTCAAAGCGGTTTAAATAATGCCAGTCAAAAAGTCAGCAAGCATGAAGCCCCAGTTGCTCATTTCAATATAATGGATTCAGCCAATATATATATCCCCCTTTAGGAAAGGGTATGCTTAAAATGGAAGGGATTTTTTTTTACAGTAATAAAATATAATCAAGTCAGGACGTTACTCAGATCTTTAATCATTAATTAAAAAAAAAAAAAATTTTATAATATTTTAAAAGGTTCATCACATGTGTGGTTTGTAGTTCGCATAATATGGTGCTTAAGTTTGATGAAGCATTGAATGTTGTCATTTTAATTTGACTGCTGGTGCCAATTTATTTTGATACAGTTGGTTGATCAGCATTCCACCACTACATTTGCTTTGCGCTGCTATCTGGTTTTGCAAGATAATGAAGGTCAAATGAGAGGTGCGGTGCATGTTAAAGAGCTCCTGCTGTTCTAACCCCACTCACAAACTCTGTTGATAGAAGTCTGCACAGGCACTACAAGGAACACCACAGCATATTTTAGTGACCTAGGGCTAGGCTAACATCGTTCCGAACCAAGCGAAAATACACAATTTGTCCAAAACATCAAACACTAACGCAGCAAAACACAACAGTTATCTCTGTTTGCACACGCTCTCCGTTTCACAACGAAGTTGAAATAGCATACCTTGCTTCGTGATGCTTCACCAGCTGGCCGTTTTTATACCATGTGAACCTGAGGAATCTCTTGTAGTATATCCATTTCTAAATTTCCACAATCTTTCGTCGTTCATGTTTTCGGCGTTGACGGGCCTACCTGGAGCTAGAGTCAAACAAGTTTTTATTAGGGATGTGCAGAAGTACTCGAACGTGACTTTAAAAAATATACTGTATTTCTCATTCCCATCAAACACAGAACATTCCAATGTACTATATCTCTCTTGTAATGTAATGTTTAACTCTTAAGTGTAACAGGGACATAATTTACATTTGAGATTAGCATCTTGCAGTTGATGGAGATTCCCATTCCACCACATCCCAAAGATGCTCTATTGGGTTGAGATCTGATGACTGTGGGGGGGGCATTTTAGTACAGTAAACTCATTGTCATGTTCAAGAAACCAATTTGAAATGATTCAAGCTTTGTAACATGGTGCATTATCCTGTTTGAAGTAGCCATCAGAGGATGGGCACATGGTGACAAAGGGATGGACATGGTCAGAAACAATGCTCAGGTAGGCCGTGACATTTAAACGGTGCCCAATTGGCACGAAGAGGCCTAAAGTGTGCCAAGAAAACATCCTCCACACCATTACACCACCACCACCAGCCTGCACAGTGGTAACAAGGCATGATGGATCCATGTTCTCATTCTGTTTACGCCAAATTCTGACTCTAACATCTGAATGTCTCAACAGAAATCGAGACTCATCAGACCAGGTAACATTTTTCCAGTCTTAAACTGTCCAATTTTGGTGAGCTCTTGCAAATTGTAGCTTATTTTTCCTGTTTGTAGTGGAGATAAGTGGTACCCGGTGGGGTCTTCTGCTGTTGCAGCCCATCCGCCTCAAGGTTGTGTGTGTTGTGTCTTCACAAATGCTTTGCTGCCTACCTCGGTTGTAACGAGTGGTTATTTCAGTCAAAGTTGCTCTTCTATCAGCTTGAATCAGTCAGCCCATTCTCCTCTGACCTCTAAGGCATTTTCACCCACAGGACTGCCGCATACTGGATGTTTTTCCCTTTTCACACCATTCTTTGTAAACCCTAGAAATGGTTGTGCATGAAAATCACAGTAACTATCACAGTAATACTCAGACCAGCCCATCTGGCACCAACAATCATGCCACGCTCAAAATTGCTTAAATCACCTTTCTTTCCCATTCTGACATTCAGTTTGGAGTTCAGGAGATCACACTCCTAAATGCATTGAAGCAACTTCCATGTAATTCTTTGATTAGATAATTGCATTAATGAGAAATTGAACAGGTGTTCCTAATAATCCATTATGTGAGTGAAATATATATATATATATATATATATATATATATATATATACACACACACAACATCATCACACACCACTGTGGAACATCATGTACTCTTAATGGTTCAATCCAGATTCGAAAACTAAAAAAGAAAGGCAGCCTTAAGACATATCAGAATGATTCTAGTGATGTATATAACCTATTTCCTAGGGCCCCTTTCCTGGTCCCATCTGTCTACTGAGGGCATACAGTACACATACAGTATCTACACTGCTACACTAAGAGTGTGCAGGAATCCTAAATCAACATGAAGGCAATCACAATCCAGTTTACTTCCATTATTGGGCATATTTTCAAGTATAACAGGATATACAGCTTAGGGCAGGGCTTGATTTTATCCACTGGACCAAGAAAAGCAGACTCAAAAGTATATTTGAAACAACACGCACCAATGAATCAGGCAATAGGGAAGTAAATATTGAAATATGCAAATCAATGAGAACTAAATGGCAACATGAAAATAAGCAATAGAGCTCATTATAAAGATATCTTGTGACTGCACACACAAGCTCCATTTCACTAAAGGAGCGGCAGCTCTGGGTGTCAGAGATGTGGAAACACTTCAGCAGAATTACAGATTTCTGTCTTTCTTTCTTGTCCCTCCTCTGCTAAAGACCAGAACCTCATCTATCCCAAAAGCCCCAGAGACACAGGTCCCCTCACCAGAGAGGCCATCTGTCAAAACAAGTTAGACGTCACATCACAGCTTGCCACAACTGTCGTAATAGTGGAGGAAAAAGCCACTACGAGTGTTCTTATTCAGGATAAAACTCTAAACTATGGCCTCAGCTGCAGACAGTGTGATGTAATGGTGATGCATTCATGTAACCGATTGCATTTATCTTTGCATTTTAAAATTTAACCTAGACATTTATTTGCTTTGGCTGATTCTGTACACAAGCTAAAATGATCAAAACTTAGATTTTTTGGGTTAACATGACCTAACAATGTTTTATCTTTTAATATTTTAAATACCTGAGCTAACATAAACTACCCATAGTAAATGCATTAAAAAACATGAACTAATGTAACTTATTCTTAAGTGTTACCAAAAATGATAATACAAAAAGCACAGACAATTACCTCCTCAAAAACCATGTCAGTCTTTCATCAGCTCTTCATGAGAGATTCATCTGTCACCATATCCCAGCACGCATTTCCTATGTCAATGCACCAAGCAATAGAAAAAAAAAAAAAGCCTAATACACACTGAATACGATTCATTTTATATTATGGCTATCAAGGTTTTGGTTATAGAATAACACTCAAAAGAATAGTTGTCAGACAAAGTTTGTATCCATCAATTTTATCTTACCGTGTCATGCAGGAAACTGCAAGTGGTTTGTGCTTCACCCTCATTGAGGCAAGATAAAGTGGCTGGTAGGATACTGTATATCCTGATAGGAAATACAATATTTTACAGCTGAGAGGTTAAGTGTGCTTGTGAAGAACCTGCCATTGGTTAACCTCAGCAAAACAGACAATTATATATAGGTAAAGTGATGGCAGATTTTAAGCAATAAATGCTCTAAAGTTAGGGGAAAAAAATTAAATCACTGCATGTGTGACCAATCAGCATCATAAAACTTTACAGTGCATGTAATTCTCATTGCCAAGAATAATGACCTCTAAAAAAATATCATCAACTTTCTTATTGTGTGTGTCTTTAATTGCCTTTAATGCTTAAAATGGCCAGTGCTTTTTCATGATCATGCATATCAAAAATTACATTAAAAATTCAGGAATATCTGGCTGCACAAATGTCCTCAGAATAAAAATAGAATTTGATCAGTGGTTTCCCTGACTACAACCCCACTGTAAATGGCTTTAAGACTTGATGAGCAAATATGTGTTTTAAGGGCTCTGATCTCAGAGACAACCGTGACACGATTGTATGGAAAAGGAATGAAGAACTGAACATGTCTTTTGGATATTGATCGAATGACATCAACATGACTATTAATGATTATCGATCATTTTGCTCTCTTTGAAACACAAAGACTCACTAGATTCAACATTTTAGAAATTATGTTTAATCATATATATGTACATATAAACCCATGATTGTACGTCTTTTGACGTGCAGATTTTGTTTTTGTTTTAATTTGGTTGAATAAACTGATAATGAACAGCCTGAGGTACAATCAACAGAAAGTGAACTCATAACAATTATTTAAAATGCAGTTGTTTTACGATTTTTGTCCGTCTTTTAACTTGAAAATGTACTAAATAAAACTTGTTTACATGCATTCACAGAAACAATAAATGTTTCACTATAGCTGTCAGAGTGTTTTGTCTTAGTCTGTTTTTATCAAGTTACAGCTATAACGCTATTAGAGGGTGATTAAAATCAAAACATGATTAAAATGGAGAATTTCCCATCACAAAACCTTAAGAAAAAGAAAAAACCAGTGTGTGCATTGTGCAAATGTGTGCAACTACATCACATTGAGAACAGGGAAGCACTGTGTTAAAATTCTGTCAGCCTCTAAGCTCAGATCATAAAGCAGAGCTACAGGCGCAAGTGGGTAAAATAGTCAGCACAGGTCAAATGAACAAAGTAAAAACGTCTTCACTTCTTGCGAAGGACCTTGTCACCCAGAGGCACGTCATCCATGAGTTTCTGCAGATGTGAGGTAAAGAAAGACTGATAACTACCAAAAAGAGGTCATGTTTATAGACTGAAGAAAGGACAGTATCAGCCCACCTTAAGTCTGGCAATATATGCTCTCTCATCTTCTCCTTCCCCCAGTGTGACGTCCACATGGTATCTCCTGCAGGCCACGATCAGCTCATCAAGAGTGTAAAGGAGGGCGGGGTCAATAGAATGTCCATTAATGAGGCTGACCAGGTACTCTCGATAATGCTTCCTGAAACACAACAAAATTGTATGTACCTCTAAAAAGTAGGGAGAGGCATGTTTGTCATATTGTCTTATCAAGTACACCATCTAGAGCATCTCATCTTGCTGTTTTCCCCCCCAGTGTCTCACCAATCCCACTTAAAAGACTAGAGATATTAGCATAATTGTGGTCAAAATATGATTACAAATTTAGCTCACATTTGATCTTCATAATAATTTTGAACTTTTGATCTTTGCTGTAATGCATATTTGCCTTTGCACGTATTTAAAAAAATGATGGAGCTTGTCTCTTAAAGTGTGCTGCAGGAATAAGTCCAAAGCCCAGAAATCAATTTACATTTTTGCCCCTCTGGTTCTATTTTCACAAATACAATGGATATTTTGAACAGGTTTTTGGTTAAATGCCTGAAATAAAGTCTGTGGTTATCAAGCTAAATACATTTTTAAATTTTATTCTACAAAAAAAAAAAAAAAATAATAATAATAATAATAATAATTACCATTACCATTTTACTGCCTTGTTGTACTCGCAGTCTTGCAAACTACGATAACATGTAAATTATTAAAAAAAATGTTGCTCACAGAGAATATATATACAGTATATATATATATATATATATATATATATATATATATTTATACACACACACACACACACACACACACACACACACACACACACATATTTGTCAGTTAATTCAAAGAAAAAACAAAATGAGTACTCATGAATGTGGACTGAAATTCAGATTAAATTGAGTTAAATCAAGCAATCGAGTTAAATCAATGGGTTGTAATTTGAGTCCCTGAGCACTTTTTCTAATCTCTACAATCCCTACAACGCAAATGACAAAAATAAAAAGAGAGGAGCTTGAGAGATTTGAGAGTGCAGGGAGCAGTCAACTTGGTAACAACGATGTTACTCACTCGCAGAGTCCTGCCTGTCCCGGCTGAGTTTGAGCACCGCATGGCGAATCAGTCGGACGAGGCCCTTCATCTTTCTGCTCGATCACTCCACACACACCTGACGCAAAAACAAAAAAAACCCTGGGATGCATTTAGGGGGAAAGGCAGTTTTCGAGGGAGATAATTTCAGTAAAGAGAAGTGGAACAGAGTGTGAAATAAAGCTGTAAGGAGTAGGTGTATGTGTGTGTTTGACAACAATTTCATGGTACAAATATAGCCTTGGTCTGAGAAACGGTAATTGGATGGCTGTTTTAGTAGTGTATTGCTTTAGGATGTTCAGCTTGTATGCTTTCATTACAGTAAAAGCGATTTTGTTCCACTGGGCAGTTGAGATAAAGACTGAAATTGGATGCAAACTAGACTTTAAGACTGAGACGGACAGATTAGATGAAGAGACAGACACAGTTAAACAGATTACATAAGTACTGGAAAGATAAAAAAAAAAGATTTGATACTAAAAGACATACCAGTCTGTGCTCCTGTTGCAGTTTCAGTATTGTAGATCACCGCCTTTTTCTGAGGAAACAAAATGACGTTCAAACAAGTATTCAAAACAAACAAACAATAGAGATGTGAAGTGATTTTTCTCAACCAACCCTGGCACACAAGTGCTGTGCGTGTGGATGTGTAGGAGGAAATGTGAGTGCCTGCGTTAAAGCGTGAGTGTGTGTGTGTGTGTGTACCTGCAGTAAGGCCTGAAGCCTGGCAGGCTCCCAGTCTCGGAGGTAGAAGAGGCAGTCTCTGGGGTGATGGGCATGCAGACCTGTCACAGTACACTGGTTCACTGCACACTTCTGCCAGAGAAGGAGTGAGCAAGAGTGTGAGAGAAAAAGAGGATGAAAAAAAGGGGAGAAGAAATCGTGCTCCGGAAAAGGCTGCTACTTTTAGCCTAACCGTAGCTGGCTTCAAAGTGAATATCACAGTCACGTACAAAGCCATAGAGATACAAATAGGCACGAATAATTCTAGGACAACAAGACCAGACAGGAACTCACTGTGTGGAAAGGGTTGTTACATCCACTGCAGAACTGATACCTGCACTGGGAACAACTGAAGTGCATACAGCCGCCCCTGGCCAGAGCATACTGGAACCTACAGTTAGGACAAGCTACAAGACAGACATAAGAACAGTAGATAAAACAATTGTATTGACACTTTGCAGTTACGTGACTACCATCGATACCTGGCGGGAAACAAACTCTGACAAAATGGCGACAAACAGTGGCCGGCCAGGAGAATTGCAGCCTTGCAAATTTACAATACTACAATCAATTAACAATTTAGACCATATGTCACAGAATATTAAAATTAGATATCAATAAAAGATTAACATATTGTTTTTTTGTTTTTGTTTTAATACTATGGACAGGGATTATGTGTCCTTAATAAAGATTGAATGAATACTCAGAACTTGTGATCCATATACAGCACCTGCTGATGTTTTCATTGCTTTGAAGCTAGCAAAATGTCTACCAGACTTGGAGTTTGGAGATATTTACATATATCTTATAAGGAATCTGTCGCCTTACACCGCACAAAAATGAAAGCCTACACAAGTACAGATAGCTATCTTTTTTTTTTCAAGAGTGGATGGGTTAACAACTCTGTCGTATGGGAGGTGAAAAACAGGAATATCTTCATAAAGCAAAGGTCCGTTTGCTATTGTTTGCAGCTACACAGAGTGACCTCTGTTTTATCGTGTGATGAATATGTACATCCTGCCTGCTGGCGAAAGACAGCTTGATAAGTAGTACAAAATAAAAGCTTATGCCAACTGTATCATATATGGCCAGCAGGATGTCAAACATTGTAGCCAACCTGCTTATCCACGCCACATCAGACATCAGACATGAGCAGCGAAATGCGTATAGTCATGTTAGCAATCTGTTAGGCTGTATAGTATTGTATTAAGTGTACGATGGTATGCATCCAAAGTAACTAAGTAATAAGCAGACGCTGTACAACAGTAACGTCATTCATTCTCCATGCATTCATCTTCTCATATCATATCAAATCAAAATCACGTACAGATGAACGCGTTCTCACCGCCTACTGGCGAACGTGCAAGTACGTTAATTGACATGAAACATAACATCAGCGAATCATCACTCTAAATGCACGTCACCTGTCTCTATGATAGGAGAATTAATGACTGTCACTGAAGTGAATCCAGCTGGACGGCGCATAACTTGCAGTTCGTCTGTTTTGTCTACCCACGTGATGCCACATGTAAACATTTATGGTAGCCTAATTAAAAAAGGAAAGAAACCGTGCTTGTGAATGATAGACTTTATCTACCTAAAACCTTTTTTTATGTTACATAGGTCATTCCTATAGCTTGAATGAACCATTTGTTGCTAGAGAACGACATTCTTGCAAAGTATGGATAAAAGAAAGAATGGGCTGTGTAATTATATACAAAAATATATACACACACACACACACACACACACACACACACACACACACACACACACACACACACACACACACACACACACACACAGTATATAATTACATATGGTTTAATATAATGCTGCTTATAATAAACCATTGATTTGTATTTATTTATTTGTATGTGTGCGTCTGTGGCTGGCTGGCTGTGTGTGTGGCTGGCTGGCTGGCTTACACCAATTGACCAAACACAACAAAACAGACTTTCTAGACAAAAAAAGACAGGTTTTCTAAGGGTAATTCTGATGGTCAGAATTATTAGCTTTGGGTAGGTGTGGATTAGGCTTCTAGAAAAGATCTAAAGGTGACTCACTGATCCCATTGTCACGCAGGTATCCGGCCAAACCCTGCCTTTGGTACTCAGGGTCATTCTCTCGCTTCCACAGCTGGAACTGCTCACACGAGAGCCCGACGTGCTGCGTCTCCCACTGCAGAGAGCGATAGAGAGTAAGACACTCACTACCATCACCATTTTTAATTAATAAGTAATATCAATTAAGGTGACACAAAATACACCTTAATGTATATTAATATTCCACCACACTAAAATGCTGCATAGTCAGTTCAGAAAAAGAATCCACCAGAATGAATCTTTGAAACTTTCTTTTGTTGCACATATATATTCATCTGAAACAAACTCTCTTATGATTCACCAGACAAGATCAGACTTTACGTCATTACACACAATCATAGGTGAGTTGTTAGTGTGGCTACTTTGAATTACTCCCCAACACTGACGCTCATCTCCTATATTCATGCAAGGTCACCGCAGATCTGTTTCTTGCTTTCTAAACACTTACCGGTTTTTTGCATTGAGCGCAGAAGCTTTTCCTGCACTGCATACAGGTGACCTTGAGTTGATCGCCGTCATAGATGAAGCCATATGAGCACTGTAGGAACGAGATAAGAGTAAAAGAGATGCACTACATCCTAACATCCAGCACCTCTTTTCAGATCACTGTAAAATGTAGTCTCTTGAATGAGACTACAGCTGTCCGAGTATGAAAGTGCTCTCTCAGAGACAGTTAGGAAGTGCAGTGTCACTCACATGGCTGCACCACAGGAACTTTGGGTCCTTGATGAGAGCCTGCTCGGTCAGCTTCTTGTGGAAGAGATCGTACACGTCTGGTTCAAGGCAATCCCTGAGCTGGGCAGTCACGCACAAACACACAAGATCGTTTCAGATATCACAGTGAGTAGCTTGAAGCCCAGTTATATGCTGCTGTTTTCCAACTCAAGTTGCAGTACTGAGCTGACCATATTTATTTTTTGCTCTTTTGCAGTACCTGTATGTCCAGAGTGGAGAAGTAGCTGTTAAGGTGCTCAGGGTCATTGATGTCCGGCTCTGTGCAGACAGGACACACCATATCTCTGATGTGCTTGTCCCTCACCGCTATGGTGAAATGCTGCTTGAAACATCCACAGCACACAGAGCACTGGCAGGATGTCAGCGACTGCATCTGAGTAGTACACCAAAAGATAGACTCCTGACTCCTAAGCATGTAAGGTGCTTTCATACATACATTTGGCAAAAATGTAACAGCATTTCAATTTAGTGCTCATTTATGAAAGGACCCAGTAAGACTGGGCTGCATGCAATATAAACTGTCCGAAGTTAGTCATTTTTCAAATTTTTTTCTTTTGCATTCTGATTTTACTAAAGAAATAAAAGTTTGGAACAACACAATGGTGAGTAAATGATCACTTGATGATGATTTTTGGGTGATCTATCCCTTTAAAGGAATAGCCCACACAAAAATGAAAATTATCATCATCATTTAATAACCTTTATGGGTTCCAAACCTGTGGGACTTTCTTTTTTCTGTGGAACATTAAATATTTTTTGAAGAATGTTGGTAACCAAACTGTTGCGGATTCCACTGACTTCAGTAGTATGGACAAAAATGACGATGGAAGTTGATAGGAACCAAAAATATTTGCTTACCAACGTTCTTCAAAAGATCATATTTTATGTTCTTATATGTAAATATTGACAGAATTTTCATTTTTTGGTGAACTATCCCTTTAACAGTATGAGTTCATTTAAGACAACGACACTCTGGTGTAAAAAATACAAGATTCTGAGCTTATCATAGGAGGTGATGCAAAGTACCTTGCTGTGGGGAAAAACTGACAGGCAGATAGGGCATTCCTTATTCAGCACCCTGCGAATGAAGTCCCTGTCAGGTGATTCACGCACAGCCTGAACCACGTCCTCCAGTGTATATGTAGCTGTAGGGTCCCGCAGCAAAGACAAAACCAGCTCACATCGCCCCCAGCTGGGCAGTTCAAACACTGCTAGCAGCCTACGGCAAACATGCTTAACACAGACAGAGGATAAGTAACTTTAGTTATGTTTGATAACATAACATTCAATATACTAATGACCACCTTGAATATATTTGGCAGGCAGCAGCATGCAATTAATTAAATATATAAAAACTGTTTTGCACATCTAGTGGTAAGAAAGCAATGCAGTCTCTCAGTGAAGCTGCATTATTGTAAAATGCCAGTCACCTGTTTATCCGGATGGTTGATGTCAATGGGGGGCTCTGGTTCGTCGCTCCACATGCGCTGATGGAATGGCTCCAGCAAAGGGCGCTGCAGCAGGACGAGAGCCCCCCTCACATCCCCTCCGCTCTGCCTTAGGGCTTCTTCACAGCGGGTCACATCATTAAAGCCCAGAGAGCCAAGCTCTTTTACCTAACAAACAAAAACAGACAAAATTTCATATTTAGCATACAACATTTGCTACTAGATATATTTACTAGAAATACAAATGAGATTCTGGCAGAATAAGCTGATAATGTTGCCAGGTTATTGGCCATAACATGAAAATATTTCAGAAATAATTACATGATTTAATAATGTGAAAGTTTACATTATATTACATTTCTACATTACTTTGTCTAAAAAAAAAATAAAAAAAAAAACACACCACGATAAACTAGGCTTGAAGCCCATAGGAAATCTCTGGTGGGAATTGAAGACAGTTTCAGCAAAACCCAGCCATTGTTCATGTGGAATGGCCTAAGATTCCTCAGAAACGCTGCCAGCAGCTGGTGTCTGGTTATACACCTCGTTTGTTTGCAGCAGGTCATAACAGAAAATGGGTATTCTAAGCACTAAAGATGCTTGCCATGAAGAGGTTCAATAATTGACTGCAGAATTCATTAAAAGTTGCATTTTCAGTTGAATTTGGAGACACCACTTGAAACATTTTATTAATATTAAATAAATATTAAGTAATTAATATTTTTGTTTGAATTGTATATTGCAGCTTGAAAGTCTGTAAATTTTTGCCAATAAACCCGATTTGCAATGGGGGCAAATTACATAAGTGAATGTACAATTTCAATGTACATTCACTAATGTAAATGTAAAGCATTATATACTCTAATACTGTTGTTAATGTTAATAAAAGTTATTATATGTAACAAATGGCCTTAAATCAAATATCCTAGTCCTCCGTTATCACCTCGGCTCCACTGAACGATCTCACCACGAGACTGTGTCTGCAACCCTCCAAGACAGCACAGGAGACCAGATGGAACAAACCATTTGGTCAAAGACTATAAACATAAACTTCCAATACACAAGTACACTTACTCCATTCATACCCACACACTTTCTCTATGTTTTATTAGTTATGACTAGTTATGATTCTTAAGTAATGTTAGAGTAACTTCTAATATTGATATCCAAAGATTATGTATCAGTATCACTGCTTTAATGTCTTCAAATCCCCTCTTTTTTGGTATTAAAACAATCCTCTTTTGATTTTATAATCAACGGTGTACAAAATGTAATGATAAACTGCAGCAGGATATTTTTTACCATACTTTGTGTAAAGACTGCACAAATTCTTCATGCCACCATGAACATGCAAATGGAGATAAGATGAACAAAGACTTTCCCCAGGTCATCTTAGATCGGTCACCCCACCAACTGGGTGTGAACTGATAGGACCCTTAAACGTATCTGATTAGGTCAGACTCAGATCCTTTGCTCAATGTCTTTGAGACAACATTTTCCTGTCTTCTTCTGCCAATTTCATCTGCATGTTAACATTTTTGGATTCAATAGGGACCACCCCAAGAACCCAAACGAAGACTTCAACGCACTTCTGGAAAAATCATCAAGAATCTACTGCATTTGGACTTGTTCAGCAACCAAAACCAATGCAAGTAACCGTTTGCTGCTTTTAGATGCGTTTCTAAGTTATTGTGGCCCTTTAAGGTGACCCTGATTCTCTGATGTTTCTCGTAGGTTTTGGTTATATATAAACATATATTTTAAAACTGCAATTCGTTACAATATAAAGGATGGATTGTCAAGAACTCACTTTAACTCTGCGGTCTCTAAGAGCCTGTCTGACGGCTTTCTCATTATCGCCCCCTGCTGCCAGCCAGGCCCGTTTGGCTTCTGCCCTGGACAAGGGGACAGCATTGCTCTTTTCTCCATCCTGGCCATCGTTTGTTTGTGCATTGGGTTCTTGCTGACAGGATGCAGCCATCACACAAATCTCATCAAGCACATGCGGTAGCTCTGCCTTCAGCCAGTCATATGGCATTACGTTACTGTTTCCCGATACATTCATGCTGGTATACACCTCCTCTGGACTCACTCCTTTCTTCTCTCCCTCCTGAGAAAAGACAGAGACAATAAGAATGTTTGTAAGATTCCGAGGATGATGCCCAGGCTACAATGACATAAAAAAATATCAGACTTACACGAATAAGCTGAATAAGTTTAAGCCCTTCCTCCTTCATCAGTCTTTGCCTTTTCAAATCAGGGTCCTCAGTGGGCATGACTTTAGGTGTGACTGAAAGCGGCGTTACGTCCTTGACCGGTAAGGGTTGGAGGGACTTAGAGGGTGGTTGGGCAGGTTCTGATTTTGAAAGGCAACACATTTCGCATAAAGTTGATGGTGCGTGGTTGACGTACGTACAAAACTGGCAAATCCACTAAATGGGATAGAAAAAAAGGAGTCAAAACAAGAACCTGTATTCAGAATAAAACTCAGCATTATGCTAATTTCTTTAGAAATGACAAATCAGAAGATACATATTTGGTTCATGGTATCCAGACTGCATAGCAGCGCGAATAAAATCGTGCTGCGGCAAGGCAGAATGGGGAAACCCAGGCTAGGTTAAAGGGATAGTTCACCCAAAAGTGAAAATTATATCACCATTTACTCACCTTCAAAACCTGTACGAGTTTCTTTCTTCCCCAGAACACAAAAGAAGATATTATGAGGAATATGGGAAACCCAACAGTTGGAAGGATAGTATGGAACAAAAATACTTTAGAAGTCATTGGGGCCCAACAACTATTTGGTTACCAACATTCTTCAAAACATCTTCTTTTGAGTTCAGCAGAAGAAAGAAATTTCAAACAACTTGAGGGTGAGAAAATGATGAACATATTTGGAATGTACTGAATAGTGGCACCTGGCTGTCCATTAGTCCTGTGGCAGAGGTGGTCGGACGTGAGGGCGCGACAGGAGGTCGGGTGGCCAAACGGGGGCGATCACACACCTCGCAAAGAATGCTACTGCCAGCATTAACCATTGTGCAGCTTTTACACTGCCACTCTGATTGACAAAAGTAATGCACAAAACACCAGAATTAACACAATGATATTCATATTTACATGATTATTTGCTAGTTTGAATGAACCTTGATATTTCAAAATGTCAAGTAGGACTGATGGTCCATTTAAATTTGAAAAAGTGACAACAAAAAAAAAAAAAATGCTGGCCAACCAGATATTGTAGAAGGCTGTGATGGCTCCTCCTGTAGAGATGGAGCAGAAGAGGACAGACGGGGTCGATCACAGGTTTCGCACAAAACCAGCTGCAACGTATTTACTGTAGTACAGTATTTACACTGCCATGTTGACAGTGATGAGCTAAGGAAAGGAATAAAGACATACAGATTTGTTAAAACAAAATCCTCCACACAAACATGTTCTCTCAACATCTTAAATTGCTCAGTGCTAACCTGTGCCGTTTTGTGGCTTTTGAGGAAGTTACAGGGACCCTGATGTGTGTGGACCGTCCTGAATGGGAGTGATACAGCCGGTCACATTCTGTACATAGCCGCTGAGTGCAGGTAGGGCAGTGAGCAGACACTGGAAACATGCCACATATGGTGCAGTTTTCTGCAAAGCAATTGAGAATCAATGAAGTAGAACGGAAACGAGTAAAGTGGACACTCACAATAAAAGATATTCATTAAAAGGAAAGCCAGGGTTGGCAAACATGATGTCTTTACCTGTTTGTGTAGATGGCACTAGAGAAGAGAGAGCAGGAGTTGGACTGAATAGAGATGTAGGCTGGGAAGGAGACACAGATGAGGGAGTTTGTTTTTCCCATGGTCTATCAGTAGGTGAGATTACAACTGCATCTGTGCTGATCCCCTCATCATCCTGTACAGACATTATATGGACACTGTATTCAAGTGACCTGCAAAAAAGCTAAGAAGTCTAAAAGAAACACTTTTCTCTAAATGCGTGGTAAGATGTTTTTAAAAGAAGTCTCTTAAGCACACCAAAGCTGCATTTATCGGATAAAAATACAGTAAAACATTAATATTGTAAAAATGTTTACAATTTAAAATGACCGTTTTCTATTTGAATGAATTTTAAAATGTAAATTTATTCCTGCGATGGCAAAACTCAATTCAGCATCATTACTCCAGTCTACAGTGTCACATGATCCTTCAGAAATCATTATAATATGCTGATTTGGTGCTCAAGAAACATTCATTATTATTATAAACCAGTTGTGCTGCTTAATATTTCTATGTACACATTGATGCTTTTTCACAATTATTTTATGAATAGAAAGTTCATTTATTTGAATATATTTTTTTGTAACATTATAAAATGTCTTTACTGTCATTTCTTATAAAAAAAAAAAAAAAACACTTTACCTGCACAGTAAGGGAGGGAATAAGTCTTTCAAAAAACTCTGGATGAGAATGGGTACCCTACAGAAAAGGAACAAACTCTATATGTGAGCTTAACATTCATTTGTGAGGAATTCATGATATGCTTTTACTTCACAGCCTTAAACCTTGATTAGCATGTCCAGTTCCATACGAAGACACATGATCTCAAGAGTCACTGACGCCACCTTCTCAACATCTGGCTGGACAACATCATCAGGAAAGCTCAAGCCATCATGCTGCTGATTGGTGTAGCCGTACAGGTTAAGTACTGCTCTGCCACCCTAAAAGAGGAAGATAAAGAATGGTAACTAACTGCAGATATTTTGTATGGTTCACACAAATAGCCTTATAATCTCATCCACCACACACCTGAATAGAGTCTACGGTCGTTCTGAAGACAGGGTTATTGTACTTGACTGTACGCCAGTATTTCGGCCTGTTGGGGTTGGTTAGATTGGAGCCATACTTCTCCAAGATGTTAAGAGCGGTGGAAAGTTTCTGCAGGAGGGCGAGGGACTAAAAGGATCAGGAGATATTAATGTACAACAGAAAGGTATGAACAAGAATACATTACAACCTAGAAACAACAACAGTGGGTAAAAATGAACTAGGAAGAAATGTTAAGTGCATACAAATGAGTGGAAACAGGACCAATTCTTTTGAAACACCAGAGGAAACGGTGACAGATTACCCAGTGCTATGCATTATTATGCACTTTATGTCAGTCATTCACACTATGCCACAATAACCCCAAACATTCCATGTTATATACAGTCAGGGCCGTAACCAACATAGACATTTACCCCCAATCAGATAATCAGATATGGCCAAATTGTCCCTACAAAAATAAATAAATAAATAAATAAATAAATAAATAAATAAAATCTGCTGCAATAACAAAAGGTTTTTTAAAAAAAACTGTGTTTAGGCAGGTTTGTCTAAGCAGTCTAACATCGCTAGTCAATGTCAAAATAACTGAGATGGCCAATCAAATAAAAGAAGGCAGGCAAGAAGGTTGTATTCAGAATGTTGTTGGATGTTATCAACATTAATGTAATGTTGATTCTGGGTAAATTCCTTATCCTTAAATGTAAGTGTATGAGGTGTATGATCTGTTGCATGTGCAAAAACTAATCATAACCGGTAGTATAAAAAGCCTAAAAGCAAGCTTAATAGTCAATTACAGTTATTGACATGACAGAAGAAAAAGTGAAAAGTTTTGTATATGCTGTCAAAAAACTCCCTCACATTTCTCAGAATTTCTCTCCACTTTTCAAAATAATATATACATTTTAAAATGTAGCATTAACACGCTGGTAATTTAAACACAACCTTAGTAAAAATATAAAGCAAAATATTAAATGCCCCCCAAAAAAAACAAAAATAGTATTTCCAAGTCGACTAGCAGCAGTATCATTTAATCGCCCTCAACTAGGCCTAGTCTAGCACATCCCTAATGAAGACAAAAGCTTACTTCTCTGTATGTAAAAGTGTTTTTTTTTTCTTTGTGGATATTTTCCATCATAAAATTTTATGGAGAGTAAAACAGGCCTGCAAATTTGTCAAGATGATAAAAGCTGGTTTACAGGAAGATGAAAGGACTACATGCAAGAGGTCGGATCATAAAAAGTCAAACGTTTGCTTTTTGCTGCAATCATACACTTATTGGGTTGCTGAGGAAAATGAATTATTACACCAGCTCACCTCATTCCTGTTATTTCCACTATTGTTCTCCGTCAGCATGCTTTCAGCAGCTATGTAGCGATATTTGCTGCAGGGTGGGAGAGGGATGTTGGCCATGGCTGCCACCCCTGCCCGTATCTCCTGAGCAGAGCCTGGAGAAGATAAGCTGCCTTCCGCATTCACCCTCACCTCCTCCAGCTGATCACTGAGAGACGCCATAGCTGGAAGTGAAAGTCATAGTCAGAGTAATTTCAGAGTAATTTTCTCGTTTTTTTTACAGTTAATGCTAATAATTTATAGATATGGATGACTGTCACATAATATAAACAACCTGTATAGATGTTTACACCTCATTCATGTTAGCTAATACGCTATGGCTGTCTGGTGAATGGAAAGTGAAACCATAACAACTCACTCGAAGCTAGTTTGCTACACCATTCTTCAAAATCAAATAAACATTACTGGATAAACTAATGTTTTACGGTCTTAGTTGTTATTTGTATAACCTTTAATGACAGACGTATTTATATACTCAAATAAAACAAATACATGTTTGCTTTTAACGCGTCTGCTACCACTGAATAGTCGTACGCTAGCAGGCTAACGCTTAGGCAATATCGCCAAAAACTCGTCAGCGAGAAAGAGACATTCTAGAGAAACGTCTAGATGTGTTTCTGTTAATACTGTGTAGTCAAGTCAACCATCTGAAGTATTTCTTGAGCTGTTGATAAATATTAGCATACTCACCGCGTATTGACAGTGCAGCAGTGCTCTCATTCACTCATCTGTAAAACGAAAGACAACACACATTACCCGCATAGAGGCGCTGTGGCACATAGTGGCATCTAGGCTACGCTGTGACTGAGCACGTACAAACTGCATTTTTTTTCATCAACAAAACAATTCTTATAAATGGATAAATGAGTAGATAAAAAAAGGGATGAATGACAAGAAGAGTTCCAAAAATGTAAAAGTGTCAACAGAAAATAAAGTCGAATGAAATTTAATTGTAACAAACAAAACATGTGATAAATTGAGCAACAATGTAATTATATGATAGTTAACTTTACAATATGGTATATGTAGTGAGATAGCTTAATATGTGTATAATAGTGAAAAAAAAAACTCACGTGAGCGCTTTGCTGAATATGACAAATTGGGTACACCTGCTGGCTGCCTTTTAATTGCATTAATGAGGCTCTCTGAAATAGGCATGCAATCTATAAATCTGAAGTGCAAAGCTTTTACGACAGAGTTAATTTCTCTCGCTGTATACACGTTTGAGTCCACTTTATCACAGTCACATCTAAGGTTTGTCATTTTTGTTGTCGTAGCCTACTATAAAAGCATTGCGAGAACATTATTATTATACAAGTTATTTGTCTAAGTTAACCGTGCCCCTTGATTCTTGCACGTCTTTTACAGTATTGCGGTGTTTTGTATCCTGTGCTGTCTTTCATTGTCTCGACACAAGAAATGGAAGGTAACATTCTCTCTCTTATTTTTTTTTTAATCAATTTGTTAATTTATCATTTATTATTATTAATGCTATTTAGCTGTGCGTGTGGTGTCCTGGTAAACCCTTTGGGTACTTGTGTGCACGTTTAAGCTGGTCAGGATGGCAGATGATTATAAACCAGATGAACCAGATTTTTTTTTTAAATTTAAATAAACCAGATGTTTATATGATCATTATTGTTTGTTGAATCAATTCATGCAGTTCCTGGATCTCGACCCTTGAGTCATCACCTTGGAGCATTGCTAATTTGATGGTGTACTTAACACGTACATGTATCTAAGTTATTTTTGGTTTTCTTTCTTTCTTTCTTTTTTTTTTTTTTTTTTTTTTTTTTTTTTTAGGCATAAACAACACTTCACAATCCATGGGAGTTGGGCAACCTCACCATCCAGTAAACCACACTAGACCTTTTTTCTATGTTCAGCCACCATCTCAGCCATATTTCATGTATCAATGGCCCATGAATCCGTATGGCCACTATGGCTTTCCAGGGCCAGGTAATTTTTTTTTTTTTTTATATGATTGAAGCTTTGCTTTTTGTTTTCTTGTGTAATCTTGCTCTTCTGTGTTGTTCTAGCTTTGCACTATGGTCGTCCCTACATGGCCCCTTATCAGTTTATGCAGTATCCTGGGTATGTGGTTCCACATGCCCCCATGCAGCCAATTGATTACAGAAGAATCAACCCCCATTATCCCTCCGTTGCATCCTACGACTTGCGCGTCCGCCACCACGTTCAACACGCTGGGATGCATAGGGAGACTGCCTGTTCTGAGGTCCAAACAGATCCAAGTGATTCAGTCAACAAACTGATAGACAAAATTGAGAGTCTTAAGGCCTGTGAACAAGGTAGTGACAAGGGGCTGAACACAGTGGTTTCCTCTACTCCTGATGTAGTGCAGGGAGAGAAGTTGGCCTGTTTAAATGAAGACTCTAAATTAGAGCTTGCCTCTCAGGAAGACAAAGAAGAGCAGGTCAGTCAGGTCACAAGGCCCACAACCTACAGTGACTCTGCATATGATGCAGAGTCTAGCCAAGGTGTACTGGATGAATGCGTGTTATCGGATGTGCTGCCTCTTGACAGTTCCTCTGTCCATGAAGAAGAGGATGCCAATGAGGAAGATGACCAGCATAGTGTTTCTGATGAAATATGCTGCCCAAATGGGGAGTCTGTGACCAGTGCCACTGGCAATACGTTTTGTAGTGGCGTCAAAAGCACTGCAGATCCAACAGAGAGCTGTGATTTCGAGGAACCAGGTGATGAGCAGTTGCAGAATATAGTGTCAACTGATGATGCTGCTGCAATGGAACCTCTTATAAAGTTCTCAGAAGACTTTGACCTCCCATATCAAATCCTTCGCCTGCCCTGCAATAAGATGACAACTGGCCTCAGTCTTGAACGAGAGACTGACCCACTTGTTTATTTTGATTCTCCATCTGCTCTGTTGCCTCCACAAAACTATCTCTCCTCAATTGGCAGTGCATATTCCTACAGCTACTACCCTCAGGTGACCCAAGAGCGCCAGAGTGTCTTGAGTCCATCCATAGATGAGCTCTCCTCCAGAGATGAAATGTTCTCCACTGACGTGGAGGATTTTGATCTTGTTCCAGGGCACGTGTATGTGGGTGGTGGCAGGCTGGCTGAAAGTGACGTTCCTGTTCGTTCCCGCAAAGAGCTCTTGAGTATGGAAAAAACTTGCTTGGTCTGCCAGAAAACATGCGTGTGCTGCGGGTCAAGCTTGCAGGATGAGGTAGGAAGCTATAAGATGGCTGAACACAGCCATCCTGAGAGGAATGAGGTGCCTGATCAAGATTGCGGGTATGACATCGAAGGAGAAGTGCGGAGTAACTGCGACTCTCCGAGAGTTTCCAAGAGGAAGTGTTGCATTAGGCACACGCTACCTTCTTGTGGACATCACAGTGCCAAACACAGACACCGGAAGCTGTGTGAAGGCCAAGAGAGCTGTGATCTGTTTGAGCAGGCTCGAGTGCATCCCAAAGGAGAATGCTGTGAGGAGTATGGTGCTCTGGCTAAAACCGATAAGAGAATTAAAAAGGGTTCCTTGTGCAGGCCTTGTATTGGTAAGTTTTTTTTTTTTTTTTTTTTTTTTTTTTTTTTTTAATTCTAATGGTATCACATGGTGGTTAACTCATGCAAGCTCTTTTTTTTTTTTTTTTTTTTTTTTAGAACGACAGTGGAGAGAGGGTGTTGTGTCTGACCAAGAGAATTGGGCAAGTTGTAGTGCCAAACCAAGGTCTCGGAGGCAAGTTAGTGGCCCTCAAGATCAAGGTATAATGTTTTATGATATTTTAAGTGTTGACTCAATGCATACCTAGATGTTTAACTTAAGACATTCATTGCAAGTGTCCTATCGTTTGTCTTTTAAACTGTTCTTTTTTTACTTCTAAAGGGAGAACTCCATTGAGAAGGCCAACTTGTAAAACAATCCATCAGCAAAGGCCAAGAAGTGAATATGACGACTATGATGAGACCGAATTGACCTACTGCCAGCGGGGCCGAGGTGAGTTTAGGGTTTTAATAAAAAAAAATATATATATATTTTAACTATTTTATTTGTGCAACATCTTTGTCCCATCAGGTGCTATGAAGAAAAGAGGCACACGATACTAAACCATTATGCACTGCTGTAATACTTAATGTATTACCCGAAACTTGTGTAAAATGCACTTCACTATGAATGTACACATGGACACTGTTCTTGACTGTAACTAAAAAGTATGACTGTGATGTACACCTTGCTGCATTTCCATTGCCCAAGTTAACCCTCGATTTTGGATGCAATGCATTCATCTTAATATGTTGTGACTGCTCTCACTGGACCAGGCCTTGACCCATGCCTACAAGGGCTCTTACACGTGCCTCAGTCTGGGAGGTGTAGATCGTGTCTGGTGTTTAAGGGCTCTGAATTATTGCATGGTCAAGGACTGGCCCACTGAGACCTTTTCAAAAAATGTTGACACTGGAGATGCAGCTGGTTTAAGGGGTGATGCAAGGGGAAAAAAGAAAAAAAAGATTAAATAAAGTGGGCAATTTGGCAGTTTGGCCACTCTTAGTCCAGATGTGTCTTGTTTTTTATTAATGTGACATTTTTATACATCGGTGTAATGTTGACACGCAGAAAACTCATTTGTCTGTACAGTGTTATTGTGTCATTAAAGTCTTGGCATTGCACTTGAACTGTTTCGTGAGTGGTTCTAATCTCTTCCCTTATTAAATAAAACACCTTTACTAGATTTGTTTGCTGTTGTTGTCCATGTTTTTCACTTGTGAGGGCTGGATCATTAGTGTGAACTTGACATCATTCCAGCATCTCAGTTGCAGGTGAACTTGAAAATGAGAACTCTAGGCTAGTGCTAGGGTTAGCCATGGTCTGCCTCCCCCATTTTTTGGGGATTTTGCTTGTGAGACCCAGAATGTCCTCACTTTTCAAATTTCTCTTTGATATTGAGAACACTGATTAAAAAAGTGGACCTTAAAAAGGCTGGTAAAAGTAGTCAAATCTATGTGATGGTGTCTTAAATTGAACTGACCATTGTTGTGGAAATGATTCTCTGTTATTCGAAAAGATAGGAGGAAGAAGACAAGTGGAAACCTTTTCAAAAGTCAAAGTATCAAAAGTTTATTTTCTTGCAAGAAAACAAATCCAATCTCTTGGCGTTCAACATACAGAACAGTGTCTACATGTGAAGGCGAAGGCTAGTCCTCATCATCCTTATATACCTGAAAACCCAGGAAACCATGCAGGCTATATCTGGTTTTGCTACCGATTGTCTCCTACACCATCTAGCAAGGAAACATGTTTGCGCTGCTCTTGACTATTCTTGTAGACCGTATATTTAATTTGGACAGCACAATGACGTTTGTGTTAAGTTTCCTATGTTCAAGTACAGCTTGACTTCACACCTCAATTTATCTCTTGGTTGCAAGTTCTGTTCGACCTCACACCTTTCTGCTTTATCTTTTGTTTGATCAAAACCCTGCACAAATATAACTCACACTTGAAATACAATAAGCTATTAAAATGTTTCCATGCTGCTTGCTTCTTTGTTAAACACAGAACATTATGTCCTCACACTAAGCTTACATTACTTATGCATTTCTAACAGTTTAGTTATACCTTAAGCTTACTCTAACTTATGCATTTCTAACAGCTTGTTATATCTTTAACAATGTCCTTTGGATTACATGAACATCTTCCTTTAAATGCTTATGAGTATATGTTAGATGATATGAATATTTTCCTTTAAATGCTCATGAATACATCTTCTCCAACGTTAGTAAAAGTTACACACACATCTATCACATCTTAATGAAATAAAAGAAAACATATAAAAGAAAATAAAGATCATATATGAAAGAAAAGAAACTTGAAATGTAAATGCAAAATTAGCCATTACACCATATGTCTAGTTAGGAAAGTATTTGACATCTATTATTTACTAAATGAAAAAAAAAAAAAAAAAAAAAAAAAAAAGAGGCCTATATACCATTAGCCCAATGTCACAAACTCTTCATTCTCATTTGATTTTATATATCCGTGTGGCAAGTGATGTCACTTTGAATGACAGCTTAGACATTTGAATAGTCTGTTTTGATGGCTTCTAAATTTAATTTAATTTTGCCCAGAGGAGTGAAATAGATAAACAACTTGTCATGCAATAAGCCTACTAAATACACAAAATGTTTTTATTTCACTAACAGCGTTGTTAGTATCTACTGGTTCACAATTACTCCTTTCAAGATTTATATCAGTGTTATAATACATCCCACTTTATAAATCCATAAAGTGCTCATAAAGACATAAAAAACAAAGAAATTGTTTTATATCAGTATATTTCTTTGTGTTTACTTAAATTGAGGATTATCTGATTTAGGTTTGTTTTACTTGCAAGGCAAGTATGTATTTGCTTTATAACAAATGTAATCCTCCTTAAACGACTGACATGTTCAGACAATAAACTGTAAAAAAAGGTTCAGACATGACAAACGCTGGCATTAAAATTAGCGGGCTTCCTTATTGGCTGTTCTCTTCGCAGATGTCGCTCGCTATTGGCTGCGCTGTGGGAGTAGCAGTGAGCGTTTACAGTACAGCCTTTGAAGAAGGAGGAAGAGTGAAGTATGACAGATGAGACTGTCTGCTCTGCATGCGATGTTCGCCGTTTGCATAGAATAGATGAAAGAAAATCTCCAAATAGAAGGTGAGTTTTTCATCCCTCCTTAGATAGTACTCGTAAAACGACCTGGCTTTCCGTACATTCGCATCAAGTTTAGTGCTGAGATTTCTTTAAACTCTTAAACAGTTTAAAAAACATGTTCGATCTGTCTTTGTTCACTTGCATTGATGCATACTTGCTGCATGACGTTTTTTTTTAAATCTGCGGTATTATAAACTTTGCTCAAGGTTACTTCATTGGAGCACACGTTTAAGTCTGTTAAAAGCAAGTTCATCCTTTTTACAAGGTGCAAGATTTGTATTTTTGGTACTGTAGTACGGTAGGTAAGTCACTTTCTGTTTTACATTGCAGCAGCTTTCTGTCTCTGTTCCGGTTTAAGTCTTGTTTTGATAGTTAAGAGGCACGCAACAATGGCTGCGTGTCAAAACAAAGTGAGCTTCCTACCAAGGCACCCTTTCTAGCACTGGCGCGTTGAACACTAAAAGCACAAATTGTGCTGCCCAGAAATGTTATGTACGGCAACTTAATAGGTTTTGAGAGCGAGCCAAAGACAACTAGTCTAAATATGTCTGTCTTTGAAATCAGACATGCCTTGATAATGCCTGAACATGTTAAAATATTTAGGCTATCCATTTAAAAACCCAACCTTTGGCTCATATAATGTGTTTTTATGTCATTTAACTTTAACAGAAATGTTGATATCAGATGCTGGTTGACTTTACTGTGTCCTTGGGAAAGGATTAGTAAATTCCACTGATATTATCTTACATTATCTTATCTCAGTGGATTGCTATCAGACGCTGGCTGCTTGATCCACTCAGTAGGCTATTCGAATGCACTTTTGTACGTTTGGTTTCTTATCAACACATGTTTGCTTAGATGACCGGCGTAGTACTTTAATCACTGTAAGCGTTCTGTTAATTTGACACCCATTCAGACAGCATTTCAGTGCAAAGTTAAATGCTTATCTAATTCTTGTCCCAAACACTCCCTGAGTTGAAGTCCAGTGGGTTTCAGTACAAAAATAAACACAGATGAAAATCTGTGTGACTGCTGCATAAATTACGGATCGCCTTGGGATGTTTCACATTTCTGCAGTTTACACAGGTTAATGTTGGAGGTGCAAAGTTGTAACACCAATATCCCACAGATGTCCCACGTTGCCTGAAAGAAAATGCATCAAAAAGTAAAGGCCAAGAGCATGCATGAATGGCTCCCCTCCCCGCCTGCTCAAGTCAGCGCATTGTCCTTGAGAATGCCACACGGTCTCAGTTTTTAAGTGACATTTTTCATTTTTTTGCTTTGCCCCTTTTCTGACAAATCCCCTGATTCAGCTGCATCCATCAGGTTGATGCTACGCTTGTAGCATGCAGCTGACAGTTTGTTATTAGCTTGTTTCATTGTCTTAGTTTTCAAGAGAGACTCTGCGAAGCTTCCAGCATGGAGTTCACGTTTCTTAAAGCAGTTTTACATTTGATAATATCACTAGAGGTGCATCTAGTGTATACATTCCATTGTATTTCATAATGCATTTGACCCTCCTATTGTTTTAAGGTAAAAGTAAAAAAAATAAAAACACTAATATTTCCAATCTGGCTAGGAAAATATTTCAGGTGAAAGCAAGCTTGCTTACCATACAATCAGAGATTAATGTAGAAAAATGGGAACTCAGAGGAAATGTTTTCAAGGTTACACCTTCACAAGTATTTAATTTGATTTTGTAAATTTTCCCACTGGACATTTAATAGGTTGGCCACATTTTCTCCCCTGCGGGTCATGCCAGAATTGCTGAAGGAAATTATGCAATGTGAAATTGAGCTGGAAGGGTTTTCATGGCAACTAGATTACTGCACTTGAATTCTCCATCACAGCAAGATGGATTTGTAGCGTCCACATTTTGTTTCATTATTGCAATGCACATTTTTTTTCAGAATTTGTAATGATGCTAGTTTGATGAATATGAAATAATCATGACTTTAAACTGGTCTCATTTAGCGAAAACGGTTTTAAGCCCTTTAGTTTATTAGTAAATTAAAAGTATTTGTGTGTGTAAGTAAGTCCCTAAAGCCGTCTATGAGATTGCGGTAATGTGTTTTTGACTGGAAATCCCAAAGACAAAAGAAAATATTTCCACTTCTCCATCACAAGATAATGTGCACCTAATAATGGATAAGCCCTCAGGGACGTCTGTCCATTCATACCACAATAGCAGGCTTAATTGCATTATTAATTATTTTCCCCCTCAAGGGATGGAGTGAAATTATACTTATATGAGCAATTACTTGCATGGTGTAAACCTTTGAACTTGAAAGAGAAGAGCACACTGCGATAACTGATTTGTTTTGTATGCCATGGTCTCATCATTATGTTATTGCTGTAAGTGTTAAGAAAGTCTGGAGGAAAGACAAGTGCTGAGAATGTGGACACAATTCATTTAACTTTAACTTGGTCACTTGATAAGTGTTCATTCATTTCTCAGGTGATTGACATTTGTAGCACCGACACACTTGAATATTCCCTTGAATAATCCTCCCTTAGTGACAAGTATTGAGCCAAGCAATTAAAATGCATATTAGCTGTACAGTAGCTGAAGGAAACGAATGCCCTCAAATCAATTTTAGATGAGGTTAGGAAACATTTTTAAGCTCGGAATTGTTTAAGGTCAGAAGGAAGAATGAGTGCCGGAGGGGTTTTGAACTCTCATTCTCTGGTCCGCTTCATGCATGCTAATATTCATGTGTCATGCAGGTTTCAGAAATTTTGCCTGTGGGCTCAACAAAACTAGGTCACATTTTGCTGTTGTTTGTAAGGGGAATATTTTCATCCGGTGAAAATTTGTTCTCCCATTATGTGTGCACATAAACACTTGCTCTAAGTGGATTATGCTGCCCATTGGGTTGGACAAGACTGTATGGCAATGAAACAACCCTGATTACAGGGTTATATTGATAACAGAACACATAATAATATACTGCATTTTATTTATACAGTGTCCTTCCAAACATAACAACATTTTAAATTCCATGATATTATCATCAATATAAAACATTAAATAAAAGAATATACCAGTGTGAGAGATATAAAACATAGAAAAAGAGCATAACAAAAGACACAGATTAGCAGTCAAGGGAGGAGGAGTACAAGATGTGACAGTGGGTGAGGTCTGAAACCCCCTTACTGTACATGACATGATTATGCATTTAGAAATGACTCATATTACACAGCTGCCTGTGATTGAGAGATGCACATGTGAAAAGTGACAGATAAAATGACATTTATTGCTAAACGTATTCAAAAAAAATCAGTATATCCATTTCTAGGAATATTTCAAATAATAAATATATGAAATCTGTTGTAAACAGTGCATATTACAAAAAATATATATATTTTTCAAAGTAAAGTAAATAAATGTAATATTTATAAATAAATATTTATTTAAAAAACTTCCAATGCCAAAATATATTACGAAATGCTAAATTAAAATGTAATTTTTTTTAGAAATATAATATGAAATATAAATGTATTTAGTTGGAAAATGTATGGCCAAAAATACTAAACAGGAAACATAAATAAAACCAAACAAATATATATATATAAATATATTAACTTTTTTGTGAAGACATTCTGAGGTCATCAAATGTTATTGATGCTTTTTTTTTTTTTTTTTTTTCAAATTTCTCCTGGTTTAGAGGACATTTTCAAAAATTACCTCACGTTCAAGAACTTCAAAAATGGGTGAATTGTACGACCCCTAAATAGAGTGCTGCAAGGACAATGGTGATTTATTTATTTATTTATTTAAATTTTTTTAGTCCAAAACCATAGACTGTATAAAACAATGGATGTAGTGTCTGTGACGTCACCCGCCGGTTTCTGCAGAGCATTTTTGAAGGCCATGGTGGGCGGAGCCGCTCAATTTGGCCTTCATTTTGGCAGCTGAGGTGCCTTGTTTTGTACAGGCCTAATTCCTACTCATATTTTTGAAGACATGTCAACAGTTAAAACAAATACTTCCCATATAGTCTGTGTTAGTAAATGTTATGCTATTTATGAAATGCAGATTGTTTATTCAGTCTTTGGTTTGAGCCTACAGCTAATCGCAGTCTGTCGGATCCTGTAGTAAAGTTTTAACTTGTATTGTACAAGGCGGTTGCCAGCAAGTGGCTAAATGGAACTACAGAGGATGTAAGGGACATTAAACATCATCAGACAGCCGAACAGATAAACTCATTTACACACTAGTCACACTCACAGCATCGTTGTGTTTATAATCATGCTCTTAAGAATCATAAACTTTTGTTAATAGTCCAAAACCCAATAGTGGGTTTTTGTTGAGGAAACCAGGTTGATTTTAACCAAAACATCCTACAAAAATACGTAATCCCTGAACCACTATTACTATTCTTTTTGTTTTTCATTATCATTTATTTTACAGATTAATTTCATCAGTAGATGGGGAAGGGTATCCCTTTGGACTGCCTTCATTTCCAGCTGTGCTCATTGACTGATTTAAACCCTTGGTTGGATCTGCACTAAACCCATGGTAAGAATCACTCCATCAAGCAATTAAGCCATTTCACATAATCAGGGAAGTAATCACAGATAATTAACCAATTAAGTTGTTTTGCTTTTAGTTCGCATACACAATTTAGCCTCTTCACGATCCGTGTCTAAGCGCAGGGTGACTGTGGACAGTCCTAATCCCTGCTGATTTGTTTACTTATCCAGGACATCTACATCTAAGTCGAGCCTGACAAAAGTTTAGATCCAGCTCACAGCTAGCGCATAATAAATGAACCCCTCTGCCTGCTTGTGTATGTGCCAAAAGTGTTCCTTTGGATTAAATTCTTGACAGTCTGTTTTGACGCAACGTCCTTGTCTCGCTTCCACAGGCAGAGCCAGACATGGATTAAAGTGTTGACGGCCTGATCTACACAGAGTGGTCGACGGAGAAGTGCGCTGGCATTACAAATCGCCAAGGATACTGTCATTGAATCTACCAAGGAGATTTGTTTTATGTTTAACATCCATGTTTTAGGGTCAATGGAGACCTTGTCCCAGAGCTCCAGGCTTGAGTGCCAAATCTGTTTCAACTACTTCAGCCAACGGCGTCTTCCCAAACTCCTGCACTGCCAACATACATGCTGCTCCGTTTGTCTGAGCCAGATGAGGCTCAGCCAAAGGGAGATCCGCTGTCCTTGGTGTCGTTGTGTGACACCGATCCCCAGCGGCCTTTCGGTCTTGCATCTTCCCGATGACCCGGAAGTACTCTCCATTGTCAGTCTTGCTCACGCCTCTGAACACACCCCTATCTTTATACACTTACCCAACAGCGGTTGCTACCTACGGCCTGTCCCTATGGACGCAGACGGGGCACTGTTGCCTGGACAACCAGCATGCCGGTTTGGCCCTAAAAGGGTTGAGGGAGTAAACATCTCTGATGGGCGGAGCCTCATGTTGGTAGATGACACGGTTGAGGAGGGGATGGAGGAGGAGGTAAAAACCACAGCATGGACTGGGGTTTGCGCTGTGCTACTTGTGGCGTTTATTTTGATTTTTCTGCTGGGTATCGTGTTGCATAACATGTCCTGCGTGTCCAAACGCTTCACTATCATTTCCTGTGGATGAGACCGAACGGAAGAATTGAAATGGGCGTACCGATGTGGCTTGAAATCTCTTATTTGATTTCAAATACGATTGTAAGTAACTATATACAGTAGATGGTCAAGGGTAAAGTCTATGCAATCTGTGCTATTTCAAATGCTTATGAAAGCTCTGATTCATTCATTCTTGGGGAATTTGTTTAATTAATGTGCAGAAATGTTAAAGAATCTAGCAGTGTTGACTTCATGTATTTGCATGTCTTGTATGTAACTGAGGGAAATTAACTTTAGCTTTAATGCTAAACTAGAGTTGTTGTACGTTATTGACAGTCTGTAGGGGTTGTGCATTTTGTAGAGGTTGTGCAACACTAAATTGTAGAAATGAAATAACGTGCATATGTTAATAATGTGGCTGCACTGCCTTTGAATAATGTGCATTGCTGTATATGTATCAAAGTGAGTCCTTGTTTAAAGGTGTGTTTCATTTGAAGCAGTTTCTTTAAAATACCACATCAAGTGTTTTCAAATGTAACGAACTGTATTACTTTTTTTTGTTACTTGTGGGTTTTGAATTTGCTTTTGATTAAATAAGTGAAAAAAAATCAGTCTCTGATTTAGTTATTAATCATAACAGATCTTGTGTGCTATCTATGTCATTTAAAAGCTATTAATAGCTACTACATGTTGCTTGTTGCGGAGTAATGGCTGCTAACAACAAGTCAAATTTGCCATCACAGGAATAAATTACACATACAAATATTATATAAGTAAGTAAATAACACAATTTTCATTTTAGGTTGAACTATCCCATCCCATTAATGAGACGTTATTATCACACACCTGTTCCCCAAATACTATTAATGATGTTATCAGCAGCAACTTGTTGGATGTTTGATCAAAATGATATTTCTCTCATTAGAAATGGTTTACGTCACTGCTGTAGACCACCTCCTACACATTTCAGTGATTTACATTGTACAGAACCTATATAGGCACTAAAAAGCAAATTTCAAACATTTTAATGTTTGATTTAATATGTCCAACAAATTCTTAATTTTTTTACACAGTTATTAAATATAACATTTGTACATTGATTTCCATGTGTAATGAGCTCTGGCTCAGTGCGGCTCACCATTTGCATCAGAAGCTGTCAACCACCCATCACCCTTGATTGATGACAGCGTCTTTGCTGTTTTGGTGGAGAGATCATCTATTGTTCCTGGAATAGCATGCATTTCAGTTTCATGCAAAATTAGTCATTTGTTGTTCACCAAGGTCATAGTATACATTTTGCATTCCTTTTTAGACCATCACTTGAATGCTTTTAAATTGTAATCTTATAAGCTAAGTGTGATTATAAATAGGCATGGTATATGGAAAAAAATAAATAAATTGATATTAAAACATCAGCACATTTGAGTGATCCCAAAAATATTAATAATGACAAGCATACATCAGTACTCAACCCTTTACTCTCAGGTCCATAAAATCAAGCACATAGTCATGCAATCAAACATTTACATTAAACAACATATTCTTTTCGAGCATGACTGTATTGCAATTCCACAGCAATTAACATTGTGTTTTTAAATAATATATATATATATATATATATATATTTTTTTAAATGTACACATAACACTGTATTTTGTATTTTGCAACAGGGGTTCAAGTTCAGCTGAGCGAGTTATGATAAATTTGACATCTTTCTCTCTTCTGGTCTTCTCTTTCTCTATATTTATTTCCTTTTTACCTTTCTTTTTTTTTGTTGTTGAGAAAATCATGCAAATGCTAGAGTGGATTTATTTTCTATATTTAGAGCTCTGCCTAACAATGCCAAAGGTGCACACCTCATTTACCTTGGCCAGCATCTGTCAACATGCTACAGAACTGCAGTGCACGCATTTGCTGAAATCATGCAAGGGTACTAGGCAGCACTGTACATGATTGATGGTGTTGTCCACATGTCGGTTTCTCCTTTAACTTTAGTAAATCACCTTTCCAAAGGGGCCTTTAACACACAACACTGGCACAATCGATTTTGGCAGTCAAATGTGCCCCAAAATCCTCTTAAACTCTGCACAAGCATGTTGTCATCGGTTTTTGAAATTTATATTTGTAAAATATAGGGATCAAATATTGTCAGGAAAAAGAACTTGGGATAATAGGGTTTAAAAAAAAAAAAAAACATCAGCCCTGACCAATTTTCAGCCTTAAGTAACTGTCATTTGTTGGCTAGAAGACAAATGAATCCCAGCAGGAATAAAACTAAATTCGAAGGAACCTGCATGTTATATAAATGTATTACTACTGGAGCAAGAACAGCAGGTGGTGTACAAATAAATAATGTGTAAAATCACTTTCACAAAGTTTATTTTGTGTAGGACAGACCAAAGCACAAAAACCAAAAAGCTGCAAATACATTCTGATGTACAGAGACCAAAATTCATTTCAATATGTATTTTATAATGTGTATATTACATATAATAGGCTAATTATATTTAGAAGTAATGTCATGAATATGAAAACACAACAATTGTACAGTCTTGTATTAGGAGATTCCCACCAGCAGGAGGCACTAGTAGACTGCAAAACAATTGAGCTATCTGACAGCAGCAAGATCATTTCTCTTCAGAATTCACTCTATTTGTACAACTTGATTAAGAGCAGGTGCAATTAGTCACGGTATACTGTGTGTAAGTACACTTCTTCAAAAAGCATGTAAAGGTTTAATGGGTAACACTTTACAATAAGGTTTGTTAGTTAACATTAGTTAATGAACTAATAATGAATAGCACATATACAGCATTTGTTAATCTTTGTTAATGTTATTTTCAACATTTACTAATACTTGATTAAAATCTTGTTATAGTTAATGCACCGTGAACTAACATGAACAAACAATGAACAGCTGGATTTTCATGAACTAACATTTACAAAGATGAACAAATGCAGTAACAAATGTTTTGCTCATCGTTAGTGCATGTTAGTAAATACATTAACTAATGTTAATAATGAACCTTATTGTAAAGTGTTACCGTTTAATGAAAATCAGTGATCATCTATTCCCGTTGGTCAATTTGGCTCCAAACGGTAAAAAAATATGTTACTGCTATTTAATTAAATAAATTATGGTAACAATATTACACATACTATTTTTGAGTAGTTAAGACTTGATTTCTTTCATGGAATCTACCTGAATAAATCATGTAAAATCCCATTAATTATACAGTCAGATGATACAATGATACAATGAATTTAATGAGTGAAATGTTATTTTTTATTTTAAGTTGACGCAAAAAAGTGTGTGGATTAGAATGGAAATAACCTGTTTATATTTGACTTTGAGTTATATTGCATTATTAAAAGACTGTATGCCACTAGCACAGCACATTTACCATTACCAGCCATGTGCAAAGCATGATGGGAACTAGAAATGGCGTCTTTAAATAAAACCACATAATTGAGCTAATTGGTAGCTCAAATATCTATTGGTTTTAATAGTGAAATTCTCAATATTTTCTATACACTGAACCACAATTTTCTTAATAAAATATACACAATATTTATAATTATCACCTTTTTCACCAAAATTACAAGACCCATGATTCATTTTTTATAGTGCACTATTATGTCTTTGAAATCTCATTTATAACTTAGTTCAGATGCTACGCCAGTCAAAAGCTACAAGACTTGGCAAAAGAGATCAAGTATTGCACCTAAGGATAAATTATTAATAATTGCTAATAAAATGTTCAATGATGAATTAAAAAAGAATTATGCGAGTAGACTGTCATTACAGTCTACTCGGAAGACTGTATGCAATGACAACTGGCATCAGAAGTATGAAGAAAGAAGGATATAAATAGTGATATTTCAAAAAACATGTTTTTTCCAAACTAGAGTTCACAGCCCAGACGAGCAATTTCATCTAATAGGAAGTCCACATCCTCCCTTTGTGTGGCTGGGTTGGAGAAAACACAACGGAAGAAATTCACTTTATCTTCCAGAGGTTGATAGCCAATCATTATGAATCCTTCCTCCATCATCTTTGTCTTGATTTTTGGAGCTACCTGTGGGGATTCATAATGTCAGTTTGTAAAGTATGAGGTGAGAATTGTTGCAATGTTCCAAATACATAAATTATGATCCATAAATAAATGTAAAGAGTTTCATAAAAAAATAAATAAATAAATAATAATAATAATAATAATAATATATATATATATATATATACACAATTTTTTTTTATACCACAAACAAAACTCTGCCTGGCATTTATTTGTGAACCGCTTTCAATGCATATTTAAATGCCCTCACGTATTTGTGGATTTTGAAACACTTCTAGCGTTGAGGTGCAGATAAGCACCAATAAGTGGACTCACTCCACCCACCGTTTTTCCCAAGCCAATCAGATCACAGCCTCATTGATCTAACCTATCGTAGCACTTTTTCGCTAAAAACCAATCACGTTTGGTTGTATCAATGAATCACATGCATTGGCTAATATATTTATATTTAAAAATATATTTCAAATTTGGATTTCATTATTAGACCATTAGACTGTGTATAAAGCCAAGACACATTTTATGAGCCTTAGAAAATGCAAGAGAAACAGCGCATTCATCTCTGTTATGGGAAAATGCATTATGGAAGAGGATTTGAAGTGGACACCGAAGTGATTTGAGTGATCGGATTCAAATCCATCTCGAAAGCGTTTTGGAAAGCATTTACACCTGGTCTTTTCACAATCGGATAGCTATCCGATCACAGAAAATGCATGAAGTGGCCAGGTGTAAACAGCCCCTAAATGAAGACAAATGTGTCTTCCTTAATTTGCTGGTTAATAAAGAAATGAAAAAGGCTTAATTTCTTGACCTACCAAGTGAAGTTCCCGGTCTCGCTCAGGACCTGGAGGAATGCTCTGCACTCGTTTTGGGAGATACCAAAAGCAGACATTACTGTGTTCAGGCTGAAATAGAAATATACAGAAAATATAAAATCATAAAGCGATGTCGGGAATGTGTATGTAACGGCTAGGCAGAAATTCAACTGTTGAAATCACAATTTCCATTTTTAAAATATGAGAAAGTTTACGGAAACATGGAACTTACTTTTCCTTTGAAGACAAGCTGAAAATCTGTCCTTCTCTTCAGCTTGTAGTAAAGATACTCTCCATTTTCTAGGCAGTGGTTGACCTGTGCTTCAAAACCCTCGGAGCCCTATAAAAGAATAGAAAAAAAAAAATTGTCATTTAAAATCACAGAAAAGAATAATAGAACATGATTGTATAAAATACTAAATAACAAATATGTTTTGAATATTTTTTTGGCTGTAACTGTGGTACAATTTCTACTTTTCAATTATTTTTATGAACTCTGTTGAAATGCTGGCCACTGGTCAGTTAAGACAAAGGCAGTATATTCATTGAAATTTAGGACACAGTTCAAGCCTTTCTTCTACTTTTTTTTTTTTTTTGCCTTCTGTGTCCCAGAGCCCAGTTGTTGCGTTATTTTAATGCATGTTCTGCAAACAATAAGGCTTTGCTTTTTTCGGACATCACAGATAGAGAACTGAACATACTGTTTTTAACCAAAACATGGCACAAACAGAACGATAGACTTCTTTTAATCCAGATGGCTAAAGGCTGTTAGATCTCCCTGGAATAATTTTTCATCCTTAATAGATAAAAGATAATAGAACTTTCTCACTCTTTGCGGATCATCCTCAAAATCAGTTTTGACTTGTGGTGTTCCCCAAGGATCTATCCTTGCTCCCATTTTCTTTTCTTTATATATGCTCCCATTGGGGTCAATTTTTAACAAACACGGAGAGTCATTACATTGTTATGCTGACGACACTCAAATTTATGTACCTTTGAGTGCCTTAACAGCTTGTCAGTCAGGTATTAAAGCTGGGATGTCCATACATTTCTTAAAATGTAAATTAGGCAATTGTGCCTGTCAAAAATTTGGATGTTGTTTTTTTTCAATTCTGCTTTGACTTTTTTCATCTAAGACTCTTTACTAATGTTAAGTTTTTTTTTATAAGTTTGCTGAGTTTGAGAGAGTTAAGCTTTCATCTCATCTTAACCAGACTACTGCAAAGAATAATAGAACATGATTATATAAAATACTAAATAACAAATACATTTTTTTTGGCTGTAACTGGGGTACATTTTCTACTTTTTAATTATTTTTATGAACTTCTGAACTCTGTTTAAATGCTGGCCACTGACCAGTTAAGACAAATGTGGTATATTTATTGAAATTTAGGACACAGTTTAAGCCTTTCTTCTACTTTTTTTTTAACACAGCTTCTAGACTTCTGTCAAACACTCATAAATACAAACATATCCCCCCTGTCTTACTCTATTTGCACTGGCTGCCAGTCTGTTTTAGAGTTAAAAATTGTACTCTTTAAAAAAAAAAAAAAAAATGTTTTAAACGGCCTGGCACCCTCTTATCTTTCTGACTTTTGAGTATAAACACTCCTGCTCGATGTTTATGGTCATCGAATCAGACATTCTCAATGGTCCCTATAGATTGTAGCTTTTGCCATATAGCCGGCCCTAAACTGTGGAACAGCCTACTTTTAAACCGCAGCACTCCGTGTACCACATTTTACATCATTTACACCATGCCTTGTGTCTTTCTGCCCCTAAAGCAACTATCACTACATAGACCAACAAAAAGGCAAATGAAGCTGTTCGAGTTTACTGACCAGCTGTCTTAAGAGCAAAGAGGAAATATAGAAATGCTAAAAAGCAAGAGACCTAAAATTAAACATCTTAAGAGTCTTGAGATCACTAAAAGCAATATTTTTATTCATATATATGTCCTCAATGGTGCAAAACCTCTGACAATTCTCTGACTCGTAATCCTTGTGATCCTCGTAAACAAATAATTTATTATCTTTATATACATGGGACAGGTAGGTCCACGGAGGCTTCCATGTTATTCCGCCATCTTGAAAAACTATAATAACAGAGGGACAAAAGGTACTAGACCAACATGTATACACAACACGTTTTCAGTTCAAAGACAGCGTGACATTACTGAAAGCAGAAATGGAGGAGCAGAGCAGTGAGAGGCACTTCACTTTTTTTGTATTCCAGTTTTTTTGTGTTATGTGTGCTTTGTATTTGTCTGTTTTATTGTGTAAAGTGCATTGAGAAGCTGCAGTAAAGGCACTATATTTTATTACAGTTTACAGTTTATTATTATTTCAAACCATCTTTTTAACTAAATTTTTTTATTTTTTTAAGGAACTAATTTTTAATCACATTTCTGAGGACACATTTTGTTTATTTGTTATTTTAAGTGTAATTTATTTGTAAGCTGCCATAAATGTTACCTTCGCCTTCCACATGAGCCACAGTTTAAAGATGTCCACATGCCGTCCACACTGAATGCTTTTATCCCCGGTGTCATAGGTCACGTCATAGGGTTTATCAGGTTGGAAGAGATACTCAGCACAGAGTTGATTACACGCCTGCAGGAGGCCCTGAGAACAACACATGACCTTTACACACCCTTTGCTTTCAAAACCACCTCAAGTATACTCAAGACTGTTTGCTGCCTGTGGTGATAATGGGTGAGACACTGGTTTATCCTGAGCAGTGAAGCTACCCTCTGTTCTTGACAAGGACTCCAAGAAAAAAAGCTATGAAAATTCTTAAGATTAAAATCTAAATTCATGAGATTGTTCCTAAGTCAACACTTGAAAAAGTCTAAATAATTTGTCAAGTATATTCTTAAAAAAATGACAGGCTTTGATGTTATTTGACTGAAAGGTGGGTATTGCTAAAGGCTCTCTGACTGAAAAACACCCCAAAGCCCGCTTTTTATATACTACACAGGGACAAACGAGTACCCAACTATTAACATTGTGTCTACTATAAACTAACAAGAGACTTTGATTAACAAATTACTATGTAATAGCACTCAGTCAAATATTTCACTGTCAAATCACTTTTAGCTAATCACTATTTGTCATACCTCACTGAAGTCTAAGAACAACTATATACAGGTTCATAATTAATATTAAAAATACATAATGTAATGAACTATAATTTGGATCAGTATTCTAAAGAGAAGATCATAAATCAAAAAACACTAGTAACGACTAAGTGTTATCAAATTCATCGGAAAGAATTACTATTTAAGCTTTTGAGATTTTTGTAAGATTTTGAAATGACCTCAGTCAATTAGGTAGTTATGTTTTCACTTTAGAATACTGATCCAAATAATTAGTAGTTCCTTTAGATTAGAAGGATGTAGTAACACTTTACTACATTACGTCATTACTAGTGGGGTTACCATTACCTTTTATTATAAATGATGCATTAATCACCTAGAAGTCCTCTGGGATGTATGAAAACATTTGTAGTTACTGATTTGCTAACATGAACTACCACGTTCAACTGAGCACTATTTACTTGTTAATCAGAGTTTCTTGTTAGCTAATAGCATTTAATAGAATGTTAATAGTGCATTACTCATTTGTTCCTGTGTAGTTAGGCTATTAATTAATGAAGGCACAGTATTCTAAAGTGTTACCGTAATATGCATGCAGCTTGTGTTATGTTGCAATGCTGAATCTTCGAGAAAAAAAAAATGCACTAAACATATACACTTTGGAGATTTAAGACAGGTTGGAGGTTATCCTAACTTTAGCCGTTGCTCGCCTGTAAGGGAAGATGGGGCAGTGCCCCACCAAAATATTCAAAACAATCAAATTATTGACAGTATAAATCCTTTAGTTCATCATAGCCTGTTGTGTTTGTTTTACTTTCTTTTTCTCACTGCACTCCACAACTTGCTACATTAAGGAAAGTCTATGCGCATGTCGTGTAAAGCTTGTTAATCAACATTTAGTTAAAACTGCCCCCCCCCCCACATTTTATACATACATGTTATATACATTTATGTTATGCAGCTTCTTCAGAGCAGTAATATATGGATTTCATATCTCTTTATCTTATATGCCTTTATTTATATATTTAAACTTAACGTCATAGATTAAACTGTCCATCTCAGCTCACCTTTCTCTTCACTAGAATGGCTGAGCATTGCAGTGGGACCCCCATCATCTTGTGTGGGTTCCAGGTCACAGAATGAGCTCTGGTTGAAAGCATATGAATGGCATGTAGTTATGTTAAAACAAAATCCATCAATTTAAAGTACATATTTAAAATCTGAAATTATTTTTGAAACAGAGGTGGAAGTGGAGGTGGAATCCATTAGACTGAAACTTTTATCAGTTTGATACGCAAGAAGCAATCCTGTAATTACAGGTTCTGACCAACCATCAGTACAAAAGAAAGGCAAGTAAGATGTTTTTAAGCACGCAGGGGTTATATGCTGTAATACAGTCTCAGAGTAAATGTCAATGTGCTTTCACCACACTCCTTTTGCAGCTAAAATTGTAGATAAATTACACGAATTACTCTGCAGAGCAGGGTAATGTGTTATAATATGTTGAATAAAATGAAACAGAGGGATATTGAAGAAGTGTCCAGAGAATCGACTGCTGACATTTAAGGTATATGGAGGAGCCCATGCTTGCATTAGCCATTAAGATTTACTCATTGATAAACAGGTAAAGTGTCTACAGGAACGAAAGTAAATAAAGATTTGTAGAGACTTTTTTGTGCTGGACTCAAGGTATACATTTTGCTGCCAATTTTTCTGGTGAATCAAACCCATGACCATGGAGTTTCTAGTGCCACTGAGCAACAAGAACACATTAAACAATTAAAATGATTCATTTAGTTTACCTTTTAATTCCTTGCATTTTCACACGATGCTTGTTTGACAGAAGCAAGCCTCCACCCCAGGCAGCCTAAATGAAGTGAAAACATTAAAGTATTGCATTATATTTAATAAAATGTACTTATAATAATAATAATAATAATAACAATAAAAACATTTTACATCCACATGCATCCATAGGCCATGGCGCTCACAAATGTCTGCTATTTCATTCAGAGGGTCAAATGCTCCATAGACTGTGGTTCCTGCAGTTGCATTGACATAGAATGGGACCAGACCCTACAGACAGCATACAAGGATTTTTAAAGACATATACACAATCATTCAATGTTTATGGTATGGTGTATATGTTGTTGATCTGAATATCAGCACATATGCATGTAGTAACACAGGTCAGATGATTGTGCATCTGTGTGATGATTGGAGGACTGCATCTCCTTTTGATTGACAGCAATTTAACAATAAAAAGTCGCTGACGCGGAAGCTATTCGAGATTTCAAGCTCAGTCAGGTGGATTTTGCAAATGTATTCGAAAGGCGAGAGAAAAAAAGGGTGCATGAGATTTGCAAATCAGCAAGGCATCATGACTTTTGCGTAAACATAAACGCCATTTTCAAGTCAGGTGGCGTGTTATCTATACGCATTTTGAGCTATCCCCCTGTATCCACGTGTATGCGTGTATGTCTACTCTATTAAAGAGCACCTATTATGGATTTTTGAAAATGACTGTCCATGTAGTGTGGAATATAGCTCTAAGGGAATGAAAACATCCTGCAAAGATTTATATCTGAAATTGCACCGTATATAAAGTTATTGTCTTTCAAAAGTGAGAGTCGACTCTGAGTCTATGAAATGAATTGTTTTTGAAATGAGTCATTAGCTGTTTCGTCGTGACGTAGATAGAAAACAGACGGGAGTGTAAACTTGAAGTCTAGTCTAGAACACATTCAAATACTTTAGCTGAATAGCGTCATGTCGAGAAGACGCTGTGTTCTACATTGCAAAGACAGTTCAGCCACTTGTTTTCATTGCCCAGAGACGAGCATGTGGAGAATCAGTGGTTAGAGTTCATATTTGCAACGATACCACAACAGTATAGTCCGAACCTTGTGTTCTCATCATTTTAATGAGGAATCATTCAAAAACATAAATGAATTCAAATGTGGATTCGCAAGCCGGTTGTTCCCGAAGGAGGGCTCAGTATCCAGTGTATATGGATCAGGTTCGTCCTCCTCCGAATCACAATCTGTAAGTATTAATAATGTTTGCTGTTATGTTTTCTGTAGCATGCACAATAGTTATATTGTGTATACGCGAGTAAGGGACCATGTGGAAAGTGCACTTTTTCTGACATGTTTGTTCAAACACTACATACAATTTTCAACACTTGACAAGCTATAATCCTGGTTATGGGCGTTCTGTTGCCGACAATCTCTGCCTACGGTTTACCAATGACAACTGACTGGGTCATTTGACCAATCGCCGCAGATTCGCGTCACTCAAAGGAGGTGTTTGGGAAAATAAATCGTCGAACGAATCATTTGGGAGTCGTTGAGAAAATTGGGTAAAAATAAATGCATATTATAAGACAAATAAAGTGTTTTTTATCCTTGCATGCACGTTAAACTGTTTTTGGGAACTCCCAAAACAAAAATAGGAACATTTTTTGTTCCTATTAATGTTCTTTAATGTACGAGTGATTTCGCGTGTATGTACGCGACGTCAAATATCCGAGCGAAACGAAGCAAAAGTAATGTACGAGGCTACAGTAATGTAACGTTAAGTCAACGGCGTTCATAAACACACTGAAAAGCGATTATGCGTGTTGATATGTTCGACAAATTGGTTTAGACTATTGAGAATTTGGTTCAGAGAATGGGGTTTAGTGTTTTAGCAATTCAGAAAAATATGAGCTCATTTGACCAACCTTAGACTTTGCTGCATCAATGCTGGAGTTTAGTTCTGATGAGATCATCTTCCCCCTCACAGAGAGACACCAACACATTTTATTCATCTTGCTAAAAAGGACACACTGCAAATTAAGAACTTATGATTCCATCCACCAATCTTACCTTTCGTCACATCTGACGACTATAACATTTTCAGAGCCGATGCCGAGAACTGCTGCAGACTTCTTGATTGAATAATGACTCTAATAAGGAAAGCGAATGTTAAACATGCACAGGCAAACAGCTAACATAGTCTGACCTTTTGGTTTACCATAACAAGACATGAAATATCTGAATTAACGGCAGTCTGTCAGGACTTAAAACACTGCTGTGACACGTAACGTCTGACCTCCCAATCAGAGGGTCAGGAGGTAATAGCTGAAATGTGTTGTGCTATGTGTTTCATTGAGTAAGTGGAACTGTCACAGCACGCCTGGTGAGAGTGGAGGTAACAATAATGAGATCATGTACGTGCGCGGAGGTGAACAGCGCCAGGCGAGGTATCGCAGACATCCCAAGGGTCTTCACTGCCGGAAAGAAATGGAACCTAGCCAACAACACACTGTACAGATTGGACATGGTGCCCCCTGCAGAGAAAGCCATTAGCTGTTTAATGAAACACTAATGGTTGAAAAGTTTCATTTTCCATTTTTCAAAACACAATATTAATGCTTCATGCATTTTTTGTGCTTTCAGCTTGTTACCAGGACAAAAGATGCCATCTCCATCTTCCTCTTGCCATCCAATAATTGTATGCATTTTTCTCAGAACTACCTCCTCCATGAGTATAAAAACTGGTGATATTTCATAGGTGAACCTGTAAGCAGAAAAGAACTCAGACTCATACATGCCCTGATGAACTGCAGAAGAAATAGAGGAGAGTGGGGAACTGGAACATTTTTGCTTTAAAGTCCGCATGGAAATGGGAATTCACTTTTTAAATTGAGTAAATCTCAATGATCCTATTACGAACAACTTGTTCCAAAAATCATTGGACTTCTCCAATCATTTAGTCTCACCCCTTTCTTACTATGTACTGCAAGATCACATTTAGATCTCAAAAACCAATGATACCAAGCCCTAAATACGGATACGTCACAATACGAAATAAATGATCTGTCATACTTTTGTTGAATGCCGACATGCATAATTTCCCCATAATTATCTGCTAAAACATTTCCTTTTAAAATGCTTATCATAAACTACCATGCAACTTTAAATACTTTACTAAATTCTGCTTTAAATAACAGTTTTATATTGTATTATACTACAGGGCTGTTGAATGCTTGATTCTGATTGGTTGAGAATGTTCTAAGGTGTGAAATTATTTTAATATATTTTAAAATGCAATTTACTTCAGGGAATTTTCAATATCATTACTCCAGTCTTTAGTGTCACATGATCCTTCAGAAATCATTTATAATGTGTTGATTTGGTGCCCAAGACATTATTGTCAATGTTGAAAACAGTTGTGCTGCTTATTTATGTGTAAACTGTGATCCATGTTTTCAGGATTATTTGAAATGCATTTAACATGCATTTATTTGAAATATAAATCTTTCAGACTGTAATAAATATTTTATGAATAAATACTTCATCTATTTAATGTGTTCTTGCTTATAAATATTGATTTCTTAAAAAAAAAAAAAAAAAAAAAAAAATCCTACTGGCCCTAAATGGCCCTAAATACCGGTGTAAATGAATGTCAAATACAAACATTTCATACAGTCCCTATACCAAATGTCTAAATTTCAAAGTGTTGCTGTAAACCTTTTTCTTCTTAAGTGTGGGAAACTTATAAGCAAAGACCAGGAGATGTTGGGATATATTTCAAGCAGAATTTAATCTTTATTAAATACTTTGTTGTGCGTCGCTGTAGTATTCCCAGTATAGTCTGACAAAGTGAAATGTTCCCTTGCAATTTATGTAGGGCAGGGCTTAACATTGTGATGAACAAAGCATGCAAATGATGTATACATGTTTAAGAACCTTCCCTTGACTGAGAGTGTTACCAATCCTAATCCAATCCGCATGAGACGCAAGAACAAGAATGGCAGGACTCCAAGAGGCATTAAAAGTTTCAGTTATCTGACCATTACACAAAGCTGGACTGGCCAGTTTCACAGCTGGAACCTCAAATGCTAAATTCAGTTTATATAACCCAACTAAACATTTAATCAAATTTGTAACACTACAATGCCTATAATGATTTCCTCTTTTTACAATTAAAATATGAATGTTAAAGAAATTAAACTTAATGAATGAGTCTCACATGTTTGTATTTGCTGTGGACGTCAACCATTCTCCTGCCAGACCAATAATGTCAAGTCCGGTTGACAGCTGGTTGAAAAATCTCGGATGGCCTAACAACATTAAAGAACAACATTAACTAAAGCTTCCACAAAACACAAGGGTGTTATTTTGCTTGTTCTTACCTGTTTTAACACCATACTTCAGCGTGTCTCTGCAGTCCACCAATAGCTGCTCCAAATTTTCCGGCTGGTCAGGAAGCTCCAGGCTGAATCCCTCCAGACCTTCCTTAAGCTGGTGCGGATAGTGAAAATCTACAACTTTGGAGCTGTTTTTCAGGGATTTACTGATGTAGGCCAACAAAATGTTTACCAGCTCCTGCAGGAACTGCTTGGTTGCTTCCTCTCCCTCTTCAGCAGGGAGCAGATCTGAGCAAACACAAAATACACATCATTCTCACAAAGGATTTGTGCCTCAGGTACAGTGGAGTTGAAAACAGCTGCATAGTTGGGCTGTCAATGTATGGAGGTTATAATTTACACTCTATATACATTCTACAGAACCAGAGCAGTTGCAACACAGTTCTGTGGTTTAATTTGCATTTTACATTTGAACATGTAAAAACTTTTAAAAGCACTCTGATTGGAAATAATTTGAATGCACTCTACTGGATACAAATATTTACTTTGTTGAAGTAATTGCAGCAGAATGAAATGAATCATTTGAAAGCTTACATTAAATTAATATTACATTTACCTTTTTCTTTTATGTGGCAAACGCTTTTATCCAAAACGGCTTAGAGTGAAAGTTATACATTATATCATTTTGTTCCATTGGAACAATATTTGAATAGATAATTGAATGTCAAATCACACAGAACGAACTGCGATTTGCACTGGCTTTGAACAAGTTTGAACTTGTTTCAGTTCATACATTCTTTACATTTGGTATTAAACTGAAAAGAGCTAAATATCCCACAATACTGGGCTGTATTCCTTTATAAAAAAAAAACGTTTCTAATGGAAGGGGAAGCTCAGACATTTCATCACCCTTTCATCTGAGTGTTTGCTGTACCTTTGCTGTGGATGCAGCTGAAATCATGGGCTCTGTGTCCACTATCATATTTCAGGGCGTCATCAGAGTTTCCAAAAGAACCTGTATCCTGTTCGCTCTTGTCTAAATAACGTCTATCAGCTTGGGTGAACTCCATGTTTTCAAGACACCTGCACACACATCAGCATACCATCTGAAACACCCACATTATTATTTTGTATTATTTATTCATGTTGAATTAGTTTCAGATTCATATTTCAGTTCAAGTTTGAGCAATAGTGTTCTTTGTCAATTTTATTATTATTATTTCTAATTTTCTATAGCTTTTTTATTTTAATTTCAGCTTTAATCACTTCAGTTAAACAAATTCAATTTATTTTATTTCAGTAAACTGACAAGGCAATGTTTCTACATTCCATTTAAGTTTTTTTTTAAGTTTCAAGATTCATCTAATATTTAGTTTATCTCAGCTTTATTTCAGTAAATGAAAATATGTTTTAATAGTTTTCATTTTATTTAACAATAACAACACTGACACTCAAAACTTCATGATACCACATTGGAAAATCAAAACCGAATTGCTATGATAATTTCACAGTGAACAACCACTTTTTTGAACACCACCTACCAACTAACACAGATTACTGCAGATTCACATATTGAACATTATGATGAAATTAAAAGCACTGAATTAAATTGTAAGTTTGTAACATATAATAATGAACAATAAGTCAATGTAGTTTACCTTCTTATTGACACATCCACTGTTGTTGACTGTTATTATGCCAAATGGCTGAAAGTAAAAAAAAAAAAAAAGCTCCAGTCTCCACCCCAGGGTTGAAAACCAACTAACCTCAAGTAAAAGTAGGTGTGGTCATAGCGCACGGCTTTCTAAAGCAATTCTATTACATAAGGATGAAAACGCCATCAACTTCTTTTGTTAATTGATATGAATGTGTTCATTGTCTGCACTGGCTCGACACAGACTGGGATGAAAAAAAAATAAAATCAAAAAAAAAAAAAAAAAAAATCAGTTCTGTCAGGTCACGCTATCAAGCTTGCATCTGCTGACTTTCAGCTGATCCACGTCTAGCTATACTGTATAGGAATATGACACCCATCACAACATTCATATATAAAGCTCCTTCAGTACTATCAACATCTATTACATTTTCTCAGGAGCTAATTACCTTCCTCCATCCCCAGCTCCTCCTCTCTTCCAGTCAGCATTTGGAATTCTGATTCCCCTTTGAATCAGACTAAATTCTCAAATTACGTTGTGCAGTAAAATATTGAATTAATGATATACAATTATGTTGGTTCTGTTCTGTTTACCCTAAGGGGAGGTTATTGGTTCTCTTCCTGCAGGGAGTTCTTGCCCAAAACATAACCATACTGCCAATCCAAACTGTCAATCGTATTTGACAATAATGATGTCATTTTTTTTCCCTTTCATGAATCTTTCTGGCTTGTTTCCAACATGCTGTTCTTGTACAGTAGGCTACAGTACATCAGGGAAAAAAAAAATCATATTTGACCAGTCATGTTTCCTTATAAAAATTGGCTTTTATTTAAAACTTAATTCTCACAGACAAATAGGCCTAACAAAAGGCCTAACTTTTTTTCAAGGCTTGTGTATAAATTTAATTCAAAACGTATCACAGTATTGAGGGAACATGTAAAACCTCTTCAGATTTGTTTAGTCTTTGACTCATATCTCTCATTTAATTTTTCCGACTTTATGTCCACATTTTTATTATTTTCTTTTTATGTCTAAAAAGAAGGCAGCAGCCTTTCAGCAAGAGCAGGCCAGCAGAGCTCGGTCTTTCAAATGGTGTGCAAATAGCTTAGGCAAAGTGAATAGAGGCAATAGCGAGTGATATGAAGGCTTGCTTTTATTTTCATGGCTTTTAATCAAGCTCACCATGTTGCTTCCATCAGTTTCGCTGACTAAATCTATGTTTAGTCCTTGAACATTACCTTGCCTTGAACAAATGCAGCCATGGTAACTTCATTGAATGATAGTCTCTGTACATTAATCTGTATATGAAGATTTCATGTTTTGGTAAAACACTGGCTAATGGACAGCAGTTCTGTCTTTTTTTTAGATATAGTATTTTTAGATATAATTGCTTCATTTTCAACACTTATTAGGCCCTATACCCAAATACGAGGTTATTGACATTTTTTGTTATGCGTGATGCTCGTGATTATAGATAGACAGGCCTAGATAGATACACTGAACAAAATTATAAACGCAAGACTTTTGTTTTTGCCCTCAATTTTCATGAGCTAAACTCAAAGATCCATTTTCTATGTGCACAAAAGGCCTATTTCTCTCAAATATTGCTCACAAATCTGTCTAAATCTGTGTTAGTGAGCACGTCTTTGCCCAGATAATCCATCCACCTCACAGGTGTGGCATATCAAGATGTTGATTAGACACCATGATTATTGCACAGGTGTGCCTTAGGCTGCCCACAATAGAGCATCACAGTCCCGCCCACAGCCCAAGAGAGCTTTGGTGCCGGAAGTAAATTTCCCATTCATTTTTCCCATTGACATTTTGTAAAATCCATATCTAAAGAGTATTAGAGCATGTCTGAGGATAACCAGCTACGGCTGAACTCAGAAGCATACAACATATCATTTCGAGTGAAAAAACGGAGAGAAAATCCAAAAAAAAAAAAAAAAAAATCAAAGGTACAAGCCTGTGTACATATTTTCATTTCCGAGCAAAGGAACTACTCATCCCATAAACCACCGCGCCTCACTAAAGTCGACTGAAAGCCACCGTGAAAGAGCCTTTTGAGTGACTTCCAAATCTGACGACAGCCACGTGAATTTTTTCATCCAGTGAATTTTATATAGTGAATGTGCAGGGAAACTCCTTTTCCTCGATTTACTGAAGCATATATGCACATGCTAAAACATTGAGCATCTGGCTCGCTCATTGGCTTCTATGAGCAACTGGACATCCAGACATTTCAGACACGTGACACGACTTCCACCAATCAGATGCATCACTGTGGGATTGTGGGATTTTTCAGGATTGTGGGTAATGAAGTACTTATCCAATACATCGCGAATAAAAGGTATTTATCTTAAAACAAGGTTAGTGCCCCATGAATTTTTGGCGTTTATATGAGCATATACAATCGCTTAGTACATCCATTACTGGTTTTAAGTCTACCACTTATGGTTACGTTTTCATGGCTTATATCTCAAATGTCAAATTTTTACTTCCGGCACCAGCTGTGGGCGGGACTGTGATGCTCTAAGGTTATCAGTAGCTGCAACACTAAGGCCCTGTTTACACAAGAACCCTCGCGGGTGAAAACGTAAAAGTATTTTATCGGATGTGCCTTTCGTTTACACTTGTTTCCATGAGTCAAAATGTCAAAAATGTCTCTTAATTGGTCTGCACCCAAAAGACAGGAATGCAGCAGTGGTGAGTGGTGACTTTTTTAACTTGTATGCTGGTTGATACATTTAAAGCCCTTCAGGTATGTATCCTTGTATCTGCAACACTAAGGCCCTGTTTACACAAGAACGCTTGCGGGTGAAAAACGTAAAAATATTTTATCGGATGTGCCTTTCGTTTACACGGCGGCGTGTTTTTTGGGGCTTAAAAACGCAAAAAAGTGAAACCACCCTCCAGAGTTGAAATTTTAAAAATGCTCCACCACCACATTCCTGTGTAAACGGTAAAAACGCAACAGTCTGCTTGACAGTGAAGGTTGTACGCAGGTGCGTGGACTTGGTGTTGTTGTGTGGCAGTGCTTCACATTGCCACCTAGCCGCCTGGAGTGTATGTACTACATTGAATTTCACACACTTTTGCGTCACCATATGCACGCAGATTTCCCACCCAAAACGCTTGTCTAAACGCAGAATAAAAAGTGATAATGCAACTCCACTTTTGCGTTTTCTCTTCAGAATCGTTTCTGTGTAAACATAGCCTAACTCTAAAAGTGCTTTCTGGAACTGTAATGGCCTGTGTGTCGTTATCATCTTCACCTAAGTCAATGCCATAATCTTTTATGTCAGATTCATTAAGTACAAGGTTTGGCTCAATATAATCATACCTCATTTCAGGAAACAAACTGCCTAGTACTTCAGGTTTGACTTGTTTCCATGAGTCAAAATGCTCTCTCTTAATTAGTCTGCACCCAAAAGACACAGGCATGCAGCAGTGGTGAGTGGTGACTTTTTTAACTTGTATGCTGGTTGATACATTTAAAGCCCTTCAACCGCATGATCCCAGTTGCAGTCTCTTTTTCCAAACTCTCAGTCCAAAGTCTAATGCATTTTACAGAGGGTGAATCTCTAATTGTCACTGACGATTGTCGTTTGAACCTTTCTGGATTCGCCATCAAATTAATACGTTTAATTTTATCAAGTGCTGTGAGAAAAGGCTATAAATCTCCACCTCCAACATCACAAGAAATTTAGCCTACTAGCCGAGACTCCTCATCCACCAGAAATCCACGGAAATCCACCAGTACCACTTAAAAACATCATTACAAGCTTACTGTTTTGAATCGAGCTAAGGCAAGCAGATAGTTTTGAACACTGGCTGGTTATGTACTTGCTCAAGTTTATTTTGGATCATTTTTAACCCTTAAAAGGTTACGAACTGGAGCTGTAAATGCATAGACTATGATTAACAGCCTCGAATAGAACAGTTTTTGTTAAAAATAAATTTCCCTGGAGAAAATAAATTGGTATGAAAATAGTTTTAGATATGACTTTGTACCCACCATGGGCGAAAAGTGGTTCAAACTTAAATGTTATGAAGCGGAGAGAAAACTTTTTGTGCGCAAAACAACAACAACTAAAATAAGATATTTTACTTAAGATATAAAATACATTACTTAATATTAAATTATAACCTACCCTGAATGCTGTTGAGTAAACACTCCCAAGCAAATATGGTCTCTTATTCAATATCTGTCTGTGGTTGCTGCATTCATCTATTCAGTTCACAACAAGAAGGTTTTTAAACTCACTTGACAGTGTGTTAGTGAACAGAGTCTTCAATGCCATCCAGTAGTTTTCCACACGCGTAAAACCAGTTCTGTTCCAAGGCCGAAAGGCAAACAAATTTGAGAGCACCATTATGCAAATTGTAAACTTGTTACTTCAGATTATTACTTCAAATTAAGTTAGGGCACAAACTGCAGTGGGCCTACACAGAAAAAGAACATTTATTTTAGTTTGAGCATTGCTGTCTTTTAAAAAAGGGATCTATCTTTGCGATATCTTTGCGCTAAAAGTCCATTGTAAAGTTCAAAAACGTAGGCTACTGTAACTTTAAGAATACAAAACTTCCTCCCTTGTCTCCCAAGCTGATTAGGAAACAAACTGCCTACTTCAGGTCTGACTTGTTTCCATGAGTCGGAATGCTCCTTGTATTACTTGGTCTCCGCCTAAAAGACACCGGAATGTACGCTAATTTCTCCTTTTAGGCTTAACTTACGTGATTGGTGCCATACTGTAGACTGCACACATGTTCCCATAAGGCCTCAATGAACGGATTTTGAGAGCAGAAAGGGGGCTTACAATGTAAATGTGTAGCCAAGTTACTATTACAATTTTTAATATTCCAGATTAGTAATATTATATCAATATTTTTAAAAGGCAGTTGACTGAGCAAAATCTCTTAGATGGTGTGTGACCATGTTCCATATCACAAATCAGTGTGAAAGCAAAATGGCCAGGATCTGTGCATGACTCAAGAATTTTCAGAGATTCACATTTATGCACATTATTTGAAGGTGGTTAGGAAAATTATAAATATCAAACTCACGGTGACATTGCATGTGCCATATTACACAACATTGCCAACATCAGAAAAAAAAAAAGTTTAATTAAGCCTAAAATAAAAGACAAGACAAATTTGCCAGGAGGTGACAAAATTGACCTCACCGGGTACCACTCATCTCCACTGCAATAGGTTAAAGAGGCTACTATTTGCAAGAGCTCACCAAAATGGGAGAGTTGAAGACTGGAAAAATGTTGCCTGGTCTGATGAGTCTCGATTTCTGTTGAGACATTCAGCTGGTGTTCAGCAGAATTTGGCGTAAACAAAATGAGAACATAATGGATCCATCATGCATTGTTACTGTGCAGGCTGGTGGTGGTGGTGGTGGTGGTGTAATGGTGTGGGGACGTATTCTTGGCACACTTTAGGCCCCTTAGTGCAAATTGGGCACCGTTTAAATGCCAAGGCCTACCTGTGCATTGTTCTCACTACTAACTACTTGCTTATTAGCATGCATATTACTTTGATATCACTGTTTTAAAATACATTATTTCATTCTAAGCATACTGTAACAAAGTTCAGGGAAGAAGGAGGCAGGAACCGGATAATAATGAAAAATAAAACTTTATTTAAACAAAATAAACGAACAAATTACCTGCCAGCAGCCCCTCACGGACGACTGCTGGCTACCGAAAATAAAATATAATATAGCTGCGAGCAGCGATGGCGGGCCCAAGCCGGAGGCACCGCAACCCCGGTTCCTTTAGTTACCTAAAGGCACCCGGGTGGCGGTGCCGAAGGCTTTGGCCCTTTCATGATTAAATGTTAAAACGGCTTGCCATACTCTGTCATTTCGACTAGTCACAATTATGTTACAGATATCTTAAATGATAATACAAACTATCCAAAGTGTAACGACTAGACAGAAAGACTTTGTTGATATCTACAATGTTAATTCCGGACAGGCAAACTTAGCTTTTAAATGTTAAAAGGGCTTGCCATACAGGGACGTAGGCTCAGAGAGAGGCTCACCATATTCAGACCAAAATATCTGACTTCCTCTTGGTCTGAGCTAATGACTATGTATTAGAAAGTTGTACGGCTTGAGGAGTACAATGTATATACCGATTTTTGTAACTGTAGATAAAACTAACAACCCCACTTTTAAGTATATATATGGTGCCTTTAGTGTTATTCTGCACGACGTGCAAAAACTTAACCCCCGCTTTTTTAAGTATATATATATATATATATATATATATATATATATATAAAGAGGGTTATTCTGCACGACGTGCAAAAACTTAACCTCCGCATTGACTGTCGAAGAGAAGTGTGCAGAAGAGCTTGCATCAGTGAGGGCTTTGCAAAATATATATACATACAAACACACACACACACACACATATAAATGAGGTTAGTGTTTTACAATATTAAGGAAAGCAAATGTATTGAAATATAGCACATTAATTTTAAATTCATTCAGCTTCAATTACCAATTTGTAGTTTACCAATTTATCTTACTTTTATTTAAAGCAAACTATACATTTAAAAGATTAGGGTTATATGCATATTTTGTCATTTAAAAAAATACAAAATTGTTATGCAAAAAGATAAGGACTTGCAGAAAAAATCTACAGTCAGCCACACACACACACACATAAACGCAGACACCAGCAACCCCCCCCCCCCTCCCTCTTCCCCATACAGACACTGATAGAGACAAGATACACATCCAAACTGCAATATCTGACTTTCTTTTGGTCTGAGCTTCTTACTGTTAATTAGAAAGTTGATCGGCTTGACAAGAACAATATACGTGGCATGTTTTGTAACTGTAGGTAAAACGAGCAAAGTTAACACATTTTATGTGTCCTTTTTTAGTCATAAAATTATTTTCCTCGCCACGGCCAAACCGTTCGAGATATCAAAAATCCGTCCGGAATTGAGCATCCTCAATGTCTTGACTTCATGCACACCGAGTATGGTGGTGATTGGTAAACACATGCGTTGTAATTTGATGTATTTCTCCTAGGAGATTTATTCAAACAACACATAATTCCCAACTTCCATTTGAACTGTCTTAAAACTTAGAGCAAAGATGGGCGCAGGTCACGCAAGTCTCAAGTAAGTCTCAAGTCTTAACCGTCAAGTCTCAAGTAAGTCCCAAGTATTTTTTTGGGGGGGGGCAAGTCAAGTCAAGTCACAGGCTATGTCAAGTCAAGTCAAGTCTTGTAGTAGGTTAAGTCAAGTGCAAGTCAAGTCACCTTATTATTTTAATTTTACATGCAGAATCTGATCTTAATAAAATGAAAAGACAAGATAAGTATTTGCCAGTAAATTACAATAATTTGCATTGTAAATACTCATGTTCAGTAAAATACACCATGGAATCAAACTAAATTGTAACTTCATAAAATTATTTATTTTTCACTTCTGCCAACAGTGTGTTTGAAATGTTTTAAATTTTCAACATTGAGTCCATAAAACAAATAACAGCTTAACATCCTACAGACTCTCTGAACACCTTCCTCTCTCTCAAACACAGTTTACAAACAATATTAAACTTTGTTACATTTCTCCTCTCTCTCTCTCTCTCTCTCTCTCTCTCTCTCTCTCTCTCTCACACACACACACAGTGGCGGTTCTAGACCATTTCAACTGGGGGGGCCAAGCTGGGGCCAGTTGTACTGTTAGAGGGGCCAGTTACATTTAGACCTTATCATTTTCTGCACTGCACTGAATGCATAAATAAGCAAAATACCATGTTTATAATTATCCAACAATTTGCATTTGCATTATATTTTTACATTTGCATTACATATATCAGTCTGTATTTGAATTTCCATTTTATTTTTTTACATTGAATATACAGTATGTATATATATATATATATATATATATATATATATATATATATATAATTTTTACAAATTAATCTACGATTTTTGTGGGTTTTTTTTTTTTTTTTTGCAAAAAGATCAGCAAATTATCCTCTAAACTGGCCTTTTTAGGGGGCTTTCCTCTCAGGGTGAATGAGCTTTTTTATAATTGTTTTTTTCCTGACATCTTTGAAAGACAGAAGCAATAATTAATGCATCCTTGGCCAGGATATAATTATAAAATATGACATGATTTTAAAAGTGACCTATAATATCGACTATGCAATACACTTTAATTTATCTAGTGCTAATAAAATTATTAAGCCTATTTGGAGAGAGAGATGTTTATAATGTGACAATATGTCAGTCATCGTGATTCGTGTAATAAGATGACTAGGCCTAGACTACTTGTTCTGAGCAGGTGTTGTCAGTGAACAGGCTGTAAAACTGTTGTCTAAGTTACAGACTGATACTAATTAAATGGGAAACGAATCGATTACCTAACGTAACCTCGGTTCTCTCTAGATGAGGGAACGAGCATTGCGTAAGCTAGCTTACGCTACGGGAAAGATTCATCTTACATCAGTCAAGTTGTCATAGTTTTTGTCAAACAAGTTGTGAATTTGTTGTAACATTAAAACAGGAGATCATGACTTACTCCGTGCTCCAAGTGATGTTCGGAGCTCCAGTGATTAGTTTCATCTGTGGGACGGGTGAAGAAACTTTCGGAAGATGTTGTAACAGAATCATATGAACAATTCCAGGATATGCTTTTTTTCATTGGTTGTTGCGTTAAATTTTACCCAGATACAATAGTGCCCTTTTCTGATTGGCTATTAAGTAGCACTTCTCTTTTTTTGATTGGCTGATGCGTAGCAGGGTCGACTGCTGAACTCCAGGCGAGACGCGCTTGATTCTCACGTGAGAGCGGCGCGGCCAGAGAAATTGCGTATATTAAATATATTATTAAGTTTTTCCGCATGAGAAATACAATGTGTGACGGGAGTGTGAGACAAAAGACTGAAACGAGTGACTGTCATGCTCAATGCGTGACACACTATAAAAAAAATATTTCACACTGACTCCACATTTAGGGGGGCCACAAGGGGGTCCAAGCTTGTTGTCGCAGGGGCACTGGCCCCCCCAGGCCCCCGCCTAGAACCGCCACTGCTCACACACACACACTTTCTCTCTCTCTCAAGAAGCAAAAACATGACTGCTAAAGGTTGTATCAGCGATGGCGGGGTAACATCACTTAACATCACGAGTGATATTCCCTTAGGCCACGCCCCCTTGTCTCCCCAAAGTATTATAAGCAATCATGCGCATCCCGTG